AAAAAAAAATGCCATTCTATGTAGCGTGCCAAGGAGACTCAGTGGAAAGCTGGCTTTCTCAGCTAGTCAGTGGCAGAACGGAGCTTCTGGGCAGAGCCCAGGACTGCGTCCTCACAGGAAGAGCAGGCCATAATCAGGCAAAGTGACAGACATTTCCCCAGCAAAACTGGGTTTAGCTGCATATTAGAGACCTTTAGTTGACCTTAAAAGGAAAGTTAAATAGAAATTAACTTTCGGGGTGCCTGGGTGGCTCAGTCGGAAGGCATCTGATTCTTGGTTTCAGCTCAGGTCAAGATCCCAGGGTCGTGGGATCGAGCCCCACATCAGGCACCACACTGAAGGTGGAGCCTGCTTAAGGTTCTTTCTCCTTCTGCCCTTCTCCCCTGCGTACTCTCTCATAGAAAAAAAAAATTAACTTCCTATGACTAGTTTTGGAGAACAAATGACACTTCTGGAAATTGTACAGGTTGAACTTTACACAATGGCCCCCTTCACGAGAGCCTCGGCACCTCCACACCTTTCAGCTTGGTTGCCAGGATTTCCTCCTCCTCGGGGCTTGGTCTCAAGGAAAGCGTGCCATTGGGTTTTGTTGCAGGAACAAATTGATTGCTCTAGTCTGAGATTCGGCAAGCGAGAGAAATGCTGAGTCAATGTGACTAAACATCTGGACACACCCAAGTTACCACTGAATAGACATCACTTTAGGCAAACGTTTAAACATCTAATCAAGCAGCCCCCGTTCTTTTTCTTCTGTTACTAATGCTACGTGCTTTGCAGCCTTCCCATTTCTTTGCTAAGGTATCAACAACCAGCAAAAAATGCTGGTTCCCAGGGCCGTTGGGAAACTACCACAAAGTGGTTTGGAAGAGGCAGGTGTCCTGACAGTCGAGTTTCCTCTTTTTTCTAAGTGCCTGACACTTCAGCTTTGCAGGCCGGCCATCTGCTCCAAGGACGGCTCTCTCAAATAAACACCTCGCCGGCCCCACCACTAGAGAAAGAGCCAGGCAGCCCCTCTCACCCACCTGGCTCCCTCCCCAGGCTCCTCTGTTTTCGAGGTCTTGGTTGGTTTAGATAACTGACCGTTTAGACCACTGGCTTTTTTCTCTTTCCACTGTACATTCCTGCTTTTTTTTTGAAATTCACCAATAAAGAGTGAGCCCAGCCAAACCCTGGATCCCCTCGTGCCCTAAGAAAAAGCAGAGCCCCAGACCTGGTTCTCTCTCTAACCGTAACCTTGCCGGGTGGTCCCAGGGGTCCCGTGCAATTTCCAGGTCCTATAAAAAGAAATCCTGGTTTTGGTTCCCCAGTTTCCTGATTGTTATTGGCGAAGGGCATCCCGCAATCATAATACCTGCGGGGCTGAGACCAAGGCAGGCCTCGCCCAGGCTGAACAGAGTAAGGCCGGGCCGCTACAGCCAGCGCATGCTGACCTTTACTTTGTAGGAAGGCCTCAAATGCTTGGCTTACAATGCTTACGAAATTCAACTCACAGTACTAATCACCTTAACTTCTAGCCTTGCCCTAAATCCCCAAAGCAGGGGCAGGGATTCTGCAAAAACAGCCCTTCTGCGCAAATCTCCCAGGGAAGAAGAGAAGACTTGCGTAAGAGGGTGTCTAAGTTAACCAACAGACTGGTTGGGGCAGATCTGAAACTCCCCTGCCACACTCACTGGCTCTAATTCCTGCAAAGGAACTCAAAGGACTGGCTCTTGGACTAAGTAGAAAGAGCAATTTTAGGAAAAGCCAGGAGACCACAGATTCAAAAGCCAGAGGAGCAGGCAGGTGACATACTCAGAGAAGTTAAATTAAACCAGACTATGCCGAGACCAGGGGCTCCCGAGGGAAAAGAATCTCCACACCCGACCAAAGCAGGGAACGAGCAGGAACATCAGGGAGAAAAGCGATGCATTCGACGTGCACAGGTCCCTGGGGCCTCCTGAGAGACGAGCTGACTCTCAAGCGAGCGACCCTGGTGAGGGACGGAGCTGACACGACCCTGGGTGAGGTCTGGTTGAGGGGGACAACCAACTCTATAAAACCAATTCCATTTCGCTGTAAAGTCCAGGGGAGTTCAGGAAGGCGCGGCCCCACACAACCCCTGGAGCCGACCTAACTTCTCTGACTCATGAGTCCCATGGAGAAGGACCGTTGCCAGAAGTGCCTCCCGCCCCCCCCCCCCCCCCCCCCCCCCCGCCCCACTGGCCATTGCTGTCCGCCGTCCCGGTGGCCTCAGGGAACTGTGGGGACGAGGTGGCGCTCCTGTAGGACCCAGCTCTCCGCTGTGCCAGCCTACAAGGCTGTTGCTCTAGCAAAACTCTCCACGCTCGTCTCTTCCCGTCACCAGGGTTCCTTTCCCGTTTGCTCACTCCAGTCTGACCACACACACACGCGTCTCTAAACCTTTCTTCTTTCTTCGGGGCATCTGGGTGACTCAGTCAGTTGAGCGTCCGACTTCAGCTCAGGTCATGATCTTGTGGTTCAGGGGTTCGAGCCCCGTGTCAGGGTTTGTGCTGATGGCTCTGTGCTTTGGACTGTGTCTCCCTCTCTCCCTGCCCCTCCCCTACGTGTACCCGGTCTGTCTCTCAAAAAAAAAAAGTTCTCTCCTTCCTTCAAAACAAAAACCTCTCTTGGACTCCGTACCCTTGTCCCTTCTCCCTGCTACAGTACAATTCCCTGCAAGAATTTTCTGTACTATTTCAACGTCCCCTCCACCCCTGTTCCCACAAACCCACCCCAGGCAGGCCTTCTTTGGCACCACTCAAGGCGACGCTGCTCTCCTCACCAATGACCTTGCTGAGGCAGAGGCACTCGAATCGTCTCCTCCCATGTGAAGTGGGTGCCGTTACTGGAACATTCCTGCATCTGCCAGCCCTGCACAGACCCCCAGGAGAGAAACAACCATTGCTAGTTTGGAAAGCATGGACAGCCTGGCCACTGCCTCCCCTTGGAGAAGACGCGCCCTCAGAGCACACTCTGCTGTTCCCCTAGACTTCTGTGACTCGGAGTGGACCCACAGCCACGGCACTGCTGTCCCTCAGAAGCCGACCAGAAACGCAGAATGTCAGGGGCGCTTGGGTGGCACAGTCGGGTGAGCGTCCGAGTGTCATGATTTCAGTTTCTGAGTTCGAGCCCCACGCTGGGCTCTGTGTGGATGGCCGGGAGCCTGTTGGGATCCTGTCTCTCCTTCTCTCTGCCCCTCCCCTGCTTGTGCACACGTGCATGCACTCTCTCAAGATAAGTAAATAAATTTAAAACAAAACAAAACAAAGAAATGCAGAATTTCAGGCCGCACCCCAGGCCCGCTCGGCCAGAATCCATGTTTCAGGGCAAGCGCAGGGGGGGCTGGTGCACGCTAAGTCCACGATCACCGGCATTCTAGTCCTCACTCTCTAATCGAACCTTTAATTGTCATCAAGGAGATAACTTTGATCTGCCATGTGCCTTATTCTTTTGTTTCTCGGTTGGCTCTGAAGCTGGCGGAAGGTGATGGTGTTCTCCGGCTCCCTCAAACTTCCTAGGCCGGCCTGTGGCCAAAACCTGTGGCCACTGCTCGGTTCTGCCCTGAGCTTGGCGGCTGCACCGGACACGGTTCTGCAAACACATCCGTCACCTGGTTGCCACGTGTCAGTCTCTCCCCACGGCCACTTCCCTCATCTTCGCCAAATTGTCCTCTCCACCCAGGACCCCCTGCTGTGGTGTTCCGGGACCCAACCTGGTTCTCAGCCCCCGCTCCTCAGTCCCGGGCCTCCTGGCCTCTCGCCATCCTCTGTCACCCTCACGCCGACAACCCCCCAGTGTACGTCTGTGGCCCCTCCTCTGCCCCGAATCCAACTGCCTCAGCGACTGGAGAGTCAGGTGGGGACATGGGCATCTCCAAGTGAACATGACCAAAGCCAAATCCTTCATTCGGTGCCACCCCTCACCGTTGCCCCAACGCCGTCCTCTCCGGCAGTGGCCACGCCGTTCTGTGCTCAGGCGCGCGTCCTGAGTTACCTCCGCAAACCGCTAGGGCCTGACCACATGTCCCGCCTGCACCGCTCCTGCGTGGGTCCAAGCCGCCGCCCCCCAACCCGGGGAGCACCGAGGTAACAATTTCCTATTTTGTCTCCCTTCCTCCACTGGTGCCCTGGCCACATGCCACCTGGCTGCTTCCCACTCAGCAGTGAGAATGGTCTTTGGAAAACACACACAGGACCACGTGACTCATCTCCCCAAGCCCAGCACGGGCTTCCCATTTCCCCTGCTGGCGCCCTGGGTCCAGAGTGTTCTCCCCTCACCCCACACCAGCCTGCCTGCGGTTTTTGGAACCTCGCATCCCCCAGGGTGGAGTTTCCCTGCCTGGGGCCCTCCTGGCCCAGGGCTTCGCGTGCGCGCACGTCCCCTCCTGCAGTGGCCGCGCCGGCGCCCCCGTCAGCATAGGCCCTCCCGGACCACACGATCTGAAAGGAGGCCTCCCTCCCACCCCAGCTCCCCTCCTGCTCAGCTGCCATCTGCTCTGTCACTGAGCACTCGTTACACATTCCACATTCGTGTCACAAAGGTCCTTGCTCACGGGGACGGGAACGCCGGGGCGCGGCCTCACTGCCTTCTGCCTGAACGCTGCCTCTCCCTGCCCTCTCTGTCCGCAAACAACCAGGACAGTGGTCGCAGCTCATGCTCTGCTCCCGGCGGGAATTTGTCAAATTAAGCAGACAGGGTGAACAATTCAACCTCTTCCTCTAGAAAAACCACACTGCCACTGGGGAGTCGTTGGTAGGTACATAAAGAGGCTTTAGGAGAACCCAGACAACACTCGGGAGGAACACACTTTCAAAGAAACGGCACAAAACAACAGCACCTGCCTCTACAATAACCCTACTCTGAATGATCAGAAAAGAACGTGTACGTCACACCACAGTAACTTTTGTCCTAGAAATGCAGTCTCTCTGCAAGCCCGGAAGAGAAATCTTGAGTAAATACCTCTCCAAGGATCAAGAACAAATGCACGCCCGGAGCCTTCTGATGCACTGGTTGTACCTTTATTATTTTTACCTCGTTCAATAATAGGTCCGTGATGCAAGGTTACCATACACAGTTAGATAATGTCTGCATTGCACATCTAAGGCTATACAGCAAAAGAACCAGAATTAGTACAAATACAAGAACTATATTTACATTCTGTATACTCAAGCTCCAAACATCGGATCATATTTACATAATAAAACATGAAAATGAAAATCTGAAATTAATAATGTACATTGTTGCTAATGTGCTCAACTCCTTACTGGGGAGAGATCAGTATGCAAAGTCTTGGTTCAAAAAGGCCACGTATGCTCCATGGGTTCTGTTGCGGTGCACGGGGACGGCGAGTAGGGACCCCGACGGGCGGCACCTCGCACGCGAGCAGGCCGACGGACTCCCCCGGGGAGCAGATGCCAGAATGTGCAGCCTGAAAAAAGGGGACTCGGAGACACGTAGACGACACACAACAGCCAGGGTTTGGGAAGAGACCAACCTCAGCTCGGACCTTCTGAGCACAGCTTTTAACATGAAATTTGTATCAATTCTCATTCTTTCCAATTAATGATCACAGGCTTTCCTAAGATTTCATGGGGCTCAAATATGACTTTCATAAATGGCCTTTTGAACAGCAGCAGCAGATAATCTCTCAGCTGGCATTTCCATTTGTTAAGGAAGCACAATCCATACATCCCTGCTACATACAGTAAGGGTCTGGTCACACACATGGGTGTGTCATCACTGGCCACAGGGGACAGCTGCAGTGTGCACGAGCCAGAGCCCTATTTAAAATACATTCAGCAAACCTTCTGTGAGCAGCAGCAGAATTAGTGTTTTCTTTTTAAGGAGCAGGTTAACCATCACATTTTAACAAGGGAACCCAAAGCAAAAATGAAGGACCCGAGTCCAACAGACAAACAAGCGCACCCCATTCCCATCCTGGGGACCCGCGTGGAACGCAGCACAAGGAAATGGAGAGTACCGACAGCTGCCACTCACCAGGTCGCCCGCTCTCTTCCAGTCCAATGTGCAATTAATTACAGTTCTATAAATATACACATACCTTACAAAATTAAATATCCCTGTAAATTAGAACAAGCAGCAGGCAACAAAGTCTTTGCTTTGAAATATGTGCCAGGAGAAGTCCTCTTAAATTTAGATCCCTAAAGACCTTTCACAATGATTTTACCTCACTCCTTCATCTTAAAAGAGCTGTAAAAAAAATACATCAAAAACAGGAGTAGTTGTTAAGTTGTATGCGGCTAAGGGAAAAGAAAAGTAAAACAATAGTGGTTTCTTAGCTGGAAAAATGCCTTCCCCTCCCCTCACAGTGCGCGCCGGAGCACCGTGCGGTGTGCTGGCATCTGGGCACCCCCCACGCTGCCAGCAGCGGCCCGTCCCCAGGCCCCCGCTGTGTGCGGCTGGCCGGCCCGCACAGCCTGGCCCGAGAGCTGGCTGACTCCCGGGCAGGCACAGGGGGCAGGAGGCTGGGGGCCCCGGTTCAGTGTGGGTTGTGAGGCCATACTTTGCTTTGGCAGGAGAAAGGAGGGTGGGGAAGGAGGGGAGGAGAGGATTACTTTCAACTGGCACCCATTTCTCCTTAATGCACCTAAGAGCTTTTTCTTTCTGTTTTTGTTTTGCTTATTTAAAGGAATGCTTTAGGGAAAAAACACAGAAGAAACCCTCAGAAAGTAGTTTCCTTAAATACTAATAGAATATTAATATCATGTTAAATATCATCTTTCCTGCCACCATGGCTTCAGCTAATCCCTCCTAAGTAGTTCCTGCCATAAGTGCTCTCTCAGCTTCACGGGAGGGATGGACCTACCCAGAAAGGGAACATTGATCCCGAAATTGTTCCAACTTCAATCTGAAAATGGGGCACAGGAGGAAGAGGGGCCCCCCATAAGGGCTGTCCTCAGACGGCAGGAAGCGCACCTGCTGGAGACCCTCGCAGGACACACACGGCCTGCTTCCTCAGGAGGCCCTCTTCCCCGGGGGGTGTCATGAACGGCCCAGGCCTACCTGTGCTAATATCCGACACCTGCAAAGCAAAGACTTTCCAAACCAGTTTTGTTTGAGTCAGAAGAAAAACCAAACGTCGTTTCAGTTTCTCACATGATTTTAGTCTCCCTCAGCCCTCCTCGCCTCCCTCTGTCACAGACACAGGGCCCTCTGTCAGACCTCGTGACGAACGGCAGTGGCACCTGGGACTTCACTAAAAGTAATCTTCAAATTTCATCTTCGTCTCCCTGCAACTGCATTTCATTCCAGTCCAGAAGCTGCTAAGCACCGACGGATCCCGGATTTGAGTAACACCACAAGGGCATATCGCGTCTGTTAAGATGATGAAGGAACCTCTAACTACATTAAAAGTCACACACCGCTTAGAAAACAAGTAACGTCATAGTTAATGACCTATGTTTAAGGAGAGGAAAAAAGTTAAAAATCTACTATAGAGTTTTTATTGATCACTCTTCACCTAAGGTCACAGGCTGTGATTTCTATCCTTTCTTTTAGGCTCACCACGATTCACTTTCCCCCTCTTTGCAAGGCAATTGTACCGAAGCCGAGAGACCTGTCCCCAGAGATGAGCCCGAGCGGGAAGTCAGAAGCAAGGGCCAACGTTCGGCGCGCCTGCCGGGCCCTGGCGCACCAGCCCCTGCCCTGGGCTGCCTGAGGCAGAAGGTCGGCCGGACGCCACAGACTCGGCAACTTCACGGCTGGGGGCCCCTCAGGCTCCACAAGGTGGGTGAGGGCAGCTACCTTCCTGAACGCCCGAGGGGCGGTCAGAGGTTTGCGGGAGGGAGGTGAAGGACGCTACAAAACACCCCCGCCCGGTCAACCGGCAAAGCAGCTGGAGGAACCAGGAGGCCTTCTCGTCCCCAGCTCACTCCTAGAAAACTTAACTCTGACTGGCAGCTGAGAGAGAAAGAGGGTCTATCTTCTTCCATGATGGCTCCTGGATGCAACGGCCCTGAACCGTCAGAGAAGCAGACCAGCAGCAGCGAGCTTCCTCCCTTCTCCTCTGGCGACGCTCCCACACGGGACGCAGACAAGCAAGGAGGAGAGGCTGGGCGGACGCAGCGCGAACCACTGGGGGCCTGGCTCAGGCGCACCTCCCCTCTGCCCCCACGTGTCCTTTTGTTGAGTGGTGGGAAGGGGGCGGTTTTAATCCTGGGACCCAGAAGGCAAAGCCTGCCATGTCTGCATACTTATGATTATCAGGGGAGAAGCAGTACTGAAAGTATTTTCAATTTGACAAGAATCACTGAAAATGCCCACTGGGTTCAGAGGGAGACTTCAAGTCTACACTTGAAAGCTACACTCGTTCGATCAAAGGGGGCGAGAAGGATCACAAGGTCACTGCTCAGTGTCACCGTAATTATAAGGGCAACAAAACAAGGACCCTCAGAAGGGGAGTCGCTCCCCCCTTGTGGGACAGTGGCGTACGACATGGCACTAATTCCAAACTGTACCGTCATCACTCATGCCAAGAAGAGAAAGAGGAAATCCTAAGAGAAAACAGCTCACGGGAGCCCTGCTGCGGGGCGCCGCCCTCCTCCCGCTGGCCGCCCGCCCTCACGAGCTGCCGCCAGGCCCCACGGTCCTCTCAGATGCGCTGCCAACGTCCTTGGCCTTCCCCATCTTACAGGGTCAGCGGCAGCCGCTGTTCCAGGCCTGCTAAAAAGTCCCCCCTTCTCTCTTCCACTAAAAGAAAACCGCGTAGCTACGTTCCAAATAGGTTCCAATTTCAGAGAACGCACCTGTGCAGCTTCTAAGCTCACCACCACCTTTTCCCTGGATGGAAAATGCAGGGATTGGCAATGGCAAAAAGAGAGAAGGGAAAAAGATGAAGTTTGTTTCCTTTTAGGTTCCAAAAAAGGCCAGAGGTTTCCCTCCTTAGTCTCTGAAGCCACCCCCCAAAATCAAAGTGATAGCACAAAGAGAAAAAAGAAAAAAAATATTACGTTGCCTTAAAAAACAGACAAAGATATCCAAGGACAGCAGTACAGACATCACAGGTGGTCAGACGGGGACCTATCGTACAAAAGGAAGCCAGTCACGAAAAAATAATTTGGAGACCCACCGGATCCCCTCTGGGTTGTTTGTGTTTGTTCGTTAGTTTTTCTCCCTTTTGTTAGGCCACACGCTATCACCACGGTTCTCAGCACAGGAAAAAAGAAGGACACAGAGCCATGGAGACGGGGACCAGGAGAGCTGCGAAGAGTGCTGACGGGAGGGAAAGCAGCTACGCCACAGGCTTACACACGAGAGGGGCCGTCAAGAATCACAGAGAGAAGTGAGGGGCAACACTTTCTTTATCTCTCGAAGGCGAGTGAGGGCGCTCAGCAGAGTCACTTAGTACTTCGGTTCGCTCGGGCACCTGCGGGACAGTTTTGACCTATAGGTGACAGAGGAAAAGGAGGGATTAGAAAGCTGGATCCAGAGGTCCGTCTCCTCACAGGTCTCTCTCCTCTGCAGTCGCCTCCTTGAGCTTCCTTGCTCCTGTCCGGCACCCAAGGCCCAGGTCCCCAGACTCCCCGAAGAAGCAGGCTAAGCTGTGGTCTTCCCCATTCTGGGCCCCCCGACACACGCCCCTCACGGGCTCAGAGGCTTGATCACAGCCCAGGATACTCCAAGACCCGGAAGGTGCTCACCATCTTCCCTTGACTCAGTCCCACGGACCCAGCTGCAGACCCTTCAGAACAAAATGTCAAGGGGCAACTGGCTGACTCAGTGGGTGGAACATGTGACTACTGATCTCAGGGCTGAGAGTTCAAGCCCCACGCTGGGTGTAGAGATTACTTAAAAAAAAAACCTTGGGAAAAAAAAAGTCAAAGCAGGACATTAACTGGGTACAATGTGACCAGGTCCTCTTAGCCATTCAGGACACCAAGTGACACCTTATGAGGAGCCCAGACTTACACTTCCTCTGTTTTCAATCTACTTTTGGGGAATAAGACTTCCTTCTCAGTTCGCATGGATGTCACTGAGGCCAGAAGCCAAGAGAGGAAGGAAACACAAGGACTTCTTACCGTATTGTGCCAGCGAGCAGTGGGTTAAAGGCATATAACCAGTCGTTCATGTCTTTGTCATTGAGAGCCTGTAAGAGGACCCCGCGATGCTTTGTGCACACAGCAAAGATGTTAGGTGTCTGAAAGAGACACAGGCAGATGGGAAGGTTACAATGGCTGCTGACAATGGGGACCGCCCGGCCATACTCAGACGTGTCCAGCACTGCATACTGAAGGTTCAGTGAGACCAGACATGTAGGAGATGATGCCACGCCACACAACAGAGAGTTCAGAACTCAGAAGGGAAGGGCACATGGCGGCATTAAAAAGCCAAGAGACAGGACTGACCTTCACCATGGCCTGCTGGTCCTCACTGTATTCCACCTGTGCTGTGGACAGGTTAATGATGCCACGCTCCACTGGGTCTTTGTCGCTGTTATAGATGAAGACATAAGGGCGACGGACCACGACGAAATGTTTCGCCCAGTTGCTATAAAGTGGCTCCTTGAAATGCAGGTATCCTTTCTTAGAGACCACAGAGCTAAAAAGGACAGTACAAGAGAGGTTGGTTTCTCACAAAAGGAAGTAATCATGGCCTGAGGACCATGAAAATACATCTCACCAGGACCCAGTCCCTACGATGGACAAAACAGGTAAAAGATCTGTGTGGCCTAGAATCTTCTCTGCTCAAGTAATAGTGCAAACAGCACAAAGCGCCACCACAGCAGATGCCTTGCAAGACACAGGTGGAGCAGGGCCCCAGCACAGCTCTCTCCTCCCACGTTCCATTGGCATCAGACAGGAAGAGCCACCTCATGTCCAAGGGCAGAGAGCAAACTACTGCTGATTTAACTTTTATACCTGGAATCCCTGGTCGGTACAGTACTCACCCTGGTCTAATTTCTTCAATATCTGGAACAAGATTGAGAAATTCATTTTTTCCTGCTCGGGCCAAATAGGGCGTTTCCACAGTTGGGACGATCTGAAACTGTTCGAATTCTGGGCAGGGACTAGAGGCCCGGGAATTGGCTTCTGGGGTCCTTTAAAAGAGAGAGGGGTTAGGGTAACAAGGAGCTTCAGCAAGGTCAACGCATAACTCACCAGGAGGAACAAGACCGCCCTTAACAGCAGGGGCCTTGCGGACATCAGCTGCGGACAGCTCAGCTGAGGCGACAAGCTGCTGTTAGAAATTAGCTCCAAATTCATCCTGCAGAAGCTACGAAAGTCACCACCAAATCACGCAGTCCCTCTTCCTACTCTGAAGCCCTCCGAACAGGAGCGTCTTGGGCACGGACTCCATTCCCGCACAGTTTCTACTTAGTCCCAAAGTCACAATTAGGGCAATGGTCCTCCAAGTGCAGTCCCTGACCAGCAGCATCAAGCTCACCTGGGAACCTGATAGAAATTCACAGTCTCGGGCTCCCAGCCAGATGTACCGAATCAGAAATGCTGGGCAGAGCTCAGCCACCTGCACTTTAATAAGCCTCCCAGGCGACACTGACGTGCACTCGCGTCTGCGGCCCACTGCTCTGAGGGCCTGGCAGAGAAAGCTCGCGAGCGGGAAGAACGGCGAGGCCGAGCGGCGCCGCGGCGCCCAGCTGGCCCGGGGCCAGGTCTGCTGCACGGAGCGTGCCTGTGCCCCGCACTGCGACTTGTCCTCGCAGAGCAGCTTGGCCTGATGCCGCCTATTCCAGCAATTCTAAAATTTCTTAACACTTCACCGCTTCGAGAGAAGCGGTCAGTTAACAACTGACGACAGGTCACATTTAGGGGGCAGTGCTTTTTTTTTCCTCAGTGGCACATAAAATGCTGTTATGGTTGATGACATCCTCAATTCAATTAAACTGCCTGGTTGTGTCATTTTCTCTGCAGTGGTCAACTGTGGCAGCGCTGGTGCCGCAGGGCAGGCAGCTGGGCGGAACCCCCGGGCTCTGACAGGTGAGCACGGTGCACCGGGCCGGGCACAGGAGTTTGCTGGTGAGTTGCAAAGACGTGAGTACAGTGACGACTCATGGAATCTAGACTAAATTTGTCTCTGTTATTCTTACCAACATGTTTTGTTGTGTCATCAGAATATTTTTTCCAAAGTAGTTTCAAACTGTTTTCCCCACAGTGAGGTCTCCTCTGTCTGATATGACTGGGGAGCCCAGCATGGGGGGGCATGGAAGGCCAACATGAGTAGAGAGGGATTCCGAAGAGGAACCGAGGGTTTTCAGGCAGAAAGCTGCTGAGGCTCAGTGTCAGAAGGAGCAGGCGCGTCTTCCCAGGACTGCGATGCCCAGAAAAGGCTGCCACATCCTTCCGAGTGCTGCCGAGATGGATGGTCCTGCCCTCAGCTGAGCACCACTGAGCTCTAGGAAGGCTGGCATTTGCAGGGTTCTTAGATTAGCTTCTCTCAGTGAAGTCTGAGTACTTGCCTTTTTTTCTTAAGTTTATATTTATTTATTTTTAGTAGTCTCTACTACCAATGTGGGGCTCAAACTCACGACTCCAAGATCAAGAGTTATATCCTCCACCAACTGAGCCAGCCAGGCATCCCTTTTATTGTATTTTATTGTTTGTTTTTTTTTTAATGTTTTATTTCTTTCTTTTTTAAAAAAATTTTTTAACGTTTTTTATTTATTTCTAGGAGAGAGAGAGAGAGAGAGAGAGAGAGAGAGAGACAGCATGAGCAGGGGAGGGTCAGAGAGAAAGGGAGGTACGGAATCTGAAACAGGCTCCAGGCTCTGAGCTGGCAGTCAGCACAGGGCCCAACGCGGGGCTCAAACCCACGAACCGTGAGATTGTGACCTGAGCCGAAGTTGGACGCTTAACCGACTGAGCCACTCAGGCGCCCCTTTTATTTTTTTTATTAAAAAAATTTTTTGAATGTTTATATATTTATTTTTCTAATGCCTAATTATTCTCTCTGCAGGGGCAGAGAGAAGAGACACAGAATCTGAAGCAGGCTCCAGGCTCTGAGCTGTCAGCACAGAGCCTCATGTGGGGCTAGAACTCACGAACCGTGAGATCATGACCTGAGCCCAAGTCAGATACTTAACCAATTGAGCCACCCAGGAACCCCTTATTTATTTCTTTTAAAGTAAATGAGGTTACTTACTTCTGGTCCAGAGAGTTGCTCCGAACTTCTACCAGCGAAGGGCAGGTGGAGGAGGGAGTGAGTGTGGCACTGCTGAAGCTGGACACAGACGGGTCCCGTCCAAGAGGAGAGATATCGGATAGCTGGAGGCGAACACGAGACAGCAAGTGAGAGTCAGCTGGGAGAATACAACGTCTCTGCAGTGAGGAGCTGTGATGTATGTACGTATGTACATATGTACGTACTTATTTTTTTTTTTTAAGACTTGCAAATATTGTATGGCCAGAGTGTCACAGTAGGACTCATCTACAAAAGAGGCAAGGCTGGCTTTTTATTTTGTGACTGTCCTCCTGCGTTAATTGACTGTCTCTCTGAGCCCAGCACTTAGAACAGGCACTATTCTAAGAATATGGCAGAGGCCCTGCCCTGCCGGAGCTTCCATTCTAAATAGAGAAGGCTGACAACAAACAAATCCACAAACACTCTGAGAAGTGTCAGGTGTAGGCCTATGATCCAGTGGTTCTACTACTATTTACCCAAGGAAAATGGAAACACTAATTCAAAAAGATATATGCACACCTAGGCTCACTGCAGCATTATCTACACTAGCCAAAAGTGTCTGTCAATAGATGATGAGTAAAGAAGATGCAGTATGTATACACAATGCAGTGTTGCTCAGCCATAAAAATGAATGACATCTTGCCATCTGTGACAAGATAGATGGACCCAGAGGGTATTACGCTAAGTGAAATATGACAGAGAAAGACAAATACCATATAATTTGACTTATATGTGCAACCTAAAAAACAAAAACAAAAAAAACCAAACAGACTTTTAAATACAGAGAACAAAAGGAGGGGAGGTGGGTCAGGGGATGGGTGAAAAAGATGAAGGGGATTAAGAGGTACAGACTTCCAATTATAAAATAAATAAGAGGCGCCTGGGTGGCTCAGTCGATTGAGCTTCCGACTACAGCTCAGGTCATGATCCTGTGGTTCACGGGTTCAAGCCCTCCGTTGGGCTCTGTGCTGACAGCTCAGAGCCTGGAGCCTGCTTCGGACTCTGTGTCTCCCTCTCTCCCTGCCCCTCCCCAGCGCTCTCTCTCAAAAATAAACAAACATTAAAAAAATTTATAGGGCACCTGGCTGGCTCAGTCAGTTAAGCATGAGATTTTGGCTCAGGTCATGATCTCTCAGATCATGGGTTCAAGCCCCACGTCGGGCTTTGTGCAGACACCTCGGAGTCTGGCGCTAGCTTCGGATTCTGTTTCCCTCTCTGTGTCCCCTCCCCCACTCACGCTCTCTCTCAAAAAATAAAGATAAAAAAGCTTTTTTAAAATAAGTCACAGAGATGACAAGTGCAGCACGGGGAACACAGTCAATGACACTGTGGTAACATCTGATGGTGACGGATGGGGGCTACACTTACAATCGTGGTGAGCAGCGAGCGATGTACAGAGTTATTCAATCACTAAGTTGTAAACCTGAGGCTAATGTAACACTGTATGTCAATTATACTTCAATGAGGAAAGTGCCAGATAGCAGGAAGTGTTACAGCAAAAAATAAAGCAGGGAAAGAGGTCAGAAAGTTTCAGGAGTTGCTGCCTTTAGGTAGGGTGGTGAAGGAGTCAATATTTGAGCAGAAAAATGAAAAAGATAAGGGAGCCTATCATGGGAACTTCTGGAAGAAGACTATTCCAAGGAAAGGGTCAGCAAGGGTGCAGAGATCTGCTGGGCGGGGATGAAGCTGGAGCGTCTAAGGAACAGCAAGAAAGGTCAAGGTAACGAGAACAGAGTGAATGCTGGAGAGGCTCTTTAAAGACTTCACCCCACTTGTCAAAAGCAACAACATTATGCCACCAAGAACCTCAGGAGCTGTGGTGCCGTGTCCTGCAGTGACGTACCAGCCCCTACAGGGTCTTCTCTGAGGGAGTCAGAGGAAAGCCAAAACGCTTCCCATCTGACCACACCCTAGGAGACACAGGGGAGTACTTTTACCTTCAGAAGTCCGTGTTCGGACTCTAAAAACTGAAGTGAATACAAAGGCAGATGTGTCCTCCGTCCTCAAACACGATGCCACACCCGTCGGAAGGCACCTGAAAGCAGGGAGACCTGGGAGAGGAGATGTGAGCTCACCTTACAGTCACTGACGCTGCCGTGCAGCTGGCTGAACTCCCGGTTGAAAGTGTGCGTGAGAAGTTGCAGGCACTGGGGACAGAAAGGCAAGTGTAAGCGTCAGTGGTGAAATGAAGCCCTGGATGCAAGGCAGGAAGAGAAATAACAGGCCTAAGGCCCACAGTGGGGCTCAGGTGCTGACCAAACACCTGACTCTAGAAATGAAATACAAATATAGCAAGGGAAGCCTGGCATGTGCCTGAAGAGGAAGATAAATTAAGTGGATTAAAAAAAGCCATTGTCAAGACTACAAAAGTGAGTGGCTGCCACCAGCACAGTTTAAAGCAACAGCCCCCCTTCTGATCCGTCCCAGCACTAGAGGGCGTGGAGGCCTCCAGTTGGACATATTTTCCTAAACCAACCAGGAGACCATTCAGTTATTGAAATGACATGCCGCCAAAGGGCCCCCACCCCCCTCAATTTCTATATTCCACTCTTGGCCAGCTGCCCAGGCTCCATTCGCCAGGGCGTCCTCCTCCCCAACCCCTCTGCCCTCCCCCACCCTATCCAGGCAACACGGGGTGCCGGTGTCTCTTCCGTGACTGCTCTTCCTCCTCACTCTGCAGCCTCCGGCCTCAACTGAGACCCGCACCATCCCCCTCTGGGTCACCGTGATAAAGAGCTCTGTGTGCCGCGAGCCTCTCCTCACCACACACCCACCCTCTTTCCTGCTGCCACGGGAGTCTTCCTAAAATGTGAATACCTGTTTAAAATACTTCTGCATCACCCTCAGGACACTCTGAACTCCAGTCCAGTCCACAGACGCCACAGGATCGGGCCCTGCCTCACGACACTGACTCCATCTCCTGCCCCGGCCCACGATGCCCACGTGATTCCCCAGCGCAGCCGGTGCAGCACACGAGGCTCGCATTGGTGCCACCTTTCAAGGTCAGCTCACCAGCACTGGCCCATCGAGGCCACTCCTCTGGCTCCCCCAGATTGCAGACACACACCTCTACTGCATGCTTGTCACCCGGTTCCCTGCGAGCTCAGTATGGAGAGCAACTGCGTCTTCTTCTACCTCCCCAGCTAGCACAGGCCCCGAAGCAGAGGCCCCCAAAGAAGGTGGAAAATGGAAACTCCACCTGGCTCACGCGGTCTCACGGGGGTAAATGCTCAGCAGAGAGAAAGGGAGGCACACCTTGGTAGCCAGCTCCTTCTCTCGATCCACCAGGCTTTCAATGTCCGTGGAGTCGTAGCCGCTGCTCTCGCTGGGGGTGATGGCACTTTCAAAGGTGGTGGTAGAGATCTGAGAGGAGATGCTGGTGGAGGTGCTAAGGGTCCCGCTGCTGAGGCTGGGGGACAAGGAGTCACTCAGGGATTTGGGGATGCTGTCACCAAGTCTCTCACGCAGCAGCAGGAAGTGGCGAGTCTTCTCCACCTAAGAAGATCAACACAATGGCCTCAGCAAACACAAAGCTCGTTAAGATCATATTGTGCTTCCACGACAATCGAAAGCTGAAAAGCCAGGATCACACAGAGCAGGTGAGCGTGTGACCCACACTTTGGGAGTCGTGCCCAAGAGTCCCGCTGAGGGTCTCCTGCCCTCGGATACCTCGTGCAGGAGCTCCAGCTTCTCTAACTCCCACTGGTGCTCAAGGATGAGGCTGTCCCCGCGGGGCCGCCAGCCTGCTAAGTTCTCTTCTCCCCGCACGTATGCCACCGACGTATCCAAGATTTTTCTCCTCCTCCTCTGCATGCCTGGGGCAAGAGACGGAAGTCTTTATTCAGAGAAAAATCTGATTCCATTTTTAGCTCAAAACACATTAATAATTCATACACATGGCACACGAAGACACTGAATCAGATACCTTGGATTTTGTTTATTACTGATAATTCACCCCCTTTTCCCTAAAGCAATTTTCTGAACCTCTTTTAAAACTGAGTTTTATATTCTTTGATAATTATGATGACTGTAACACAACCTGAGAAAATGCCCAAGTTATTATGTTACGTGAAAACACAGAATGAACAATTGTCCGTAACCTATGGTTCCAAATACATATACAAAAACACACCCATACGAAGAAAGTAGAGAAGGACCATTCCTGTGCCCCCTGCACACACACCCCAGTCAGGAGCTCAGTTAGGATGGCAGACGGCAGACAGCTTCAGCCCCATCATTTCCCATTAATTTCTAAAAATATACTGTTTTTACATATAAAAGACACAAATTTATGTTAATTAAAAACATTTCTCAAGGAAGTATGTGGACACTCATTAGCTGCTACTGGGACTTGGATTCATACTCAGTCTTTTTCTAAATCTACATCTTAACTGTGGGTCCTGATCTTTCCCCATAGATGTTCTTTAAAATGATATAATCTCACCTTAATCAAATGTTATTTAATTTTTTTTTTTTAATATTTTTATTTCTAGGAGAGAGAGAGAGACAGCATAAGCAGGGGAGGGTCAGAGAGAGAGGGAGTCACAGACTCTGAAATAGGCTCCAGGCTCTGAGCTGGCAGTCAGCACAGAGCCCGACGCGGGGCTCGAATCCAAGAACCGCGAGATCATGACCTAAGCGAAAGTCGGACGCTTAACCGACTAAGCCACCCAGGCGCCCCATTATTTAATTTATTTTTAAGTTTACTTATTTAGTTTGAGAGAGATAGAGACAGGGTGAGTGCGGGAGGGCCAGACAGACAGGGAGGGAGAGAGAAAGAGAATCCCAAGCAGGCTCTGTGCTGCCAACGCAGAGCCCGATGTGGGACTCGAACTCACAAAACTGAGAGATCATGACCTAAGGTAAAATCAAAAGTCGGATGCTTAACCGACTGAGCCACCCAGGCGCCCCTCAAATGTTTTTCAAAAACCCTGATTTTTGGGATGCCTGGGTGGCTCAGTCAGTTAAGTGACCATTTTCAGCTCAGGTCATGATCTCGTGGTTCATGAGTTCGAGCCCCGCACTGGGCTCTGTGCTGACAGCTCAGAGCCTGGAGCCTGCTTCGGATTCTGTGTCTCCCTCTCTCTCTGCCCCTCCCCCATTCATGCTCTGTCTCTCTCTCTCAAAATAAATAAACATTTAAAAAAAAAACCCTGATTTTTGTCCATGTTCCAGCTTATCAACCTAGAAATGCAAAGGGCTGCTGAAGACCACCAAGCCAGAGGAGCAATAGCAGCCCAAAGAGACCTCCAAAAGGACACAGGAAAATTCAGCTGAAGAACCTGTCTTCCGAGGGCCCATGGAGTTCAAGTTCTAGCCTGACAACACCTGTGAAGTCACACTACCAGGTTACCATTGGGGATAGAGTGGAGAGAGAAATGGTTACGAGGTCTGGCAAGCCAAATTCATTCTAACACACTCAAAGTTTTTATAATACGCTAAAACCTCATTACATTTTGTTCAGTACAGTTTTTGTAACTGTTCTGCAGGTCATAAACGAAACAGTGTTGTTACTCAGAACAAGGTAACTCCTACCACCATCAAAAAATTGGCTTACAAAATATACATGGTTTCTAAAAAATTTTCCTACTTATATAGGATAGATTTTGACAGAAAATAGTCCAAACACAGGCAAAGATAACCATCACCTCCCCGACCCACAAAGGCTTACCTGGACTACCTGTGTCTGCCATTTTGCATAAACTGAGTTCATAAATTCCAGTGACGCGATTGCTATTTGAATTAAAACAAACACTTGTTTAACTTCTCACAGCACAAAACCAGAGAAATCTCAATTCTCTCTACTTAAAACACGGTCTCTTCTGGGGGGAACTGCAGCCTCCCCTTAAATAAAATTACAGACATTTCCTGTTTCTTTTCTTATTCTGAACTTAGGAAGTATATTTTTCGTAGGAGGAGTTTGTTTTCATCCCAATCGTTTGAATTACTTCGAAGGATGAATAAAATTGAATGATAAACCCAAAAGTTTATAATACAAAGATAAAAATTAATTTTTTTTTTTCTTACCACGAGAGACAAGTTGGGGGCAGGGCAAAGTCTGACCAGAATGAAATGATAAACATCGACTACAGAGGCATGTGACGTGGAAGGTTCTGAACCCTCCACTGTGTTAGTAACGCATATATTTTTTTAAGTTTATTTATTTATTCTGAGAAAGAGCGCATGTGCACATGGGTGTCGGGGAGGAACAGAGAGGAGACTCTCAAGCAGGCTCCATACTGTCAGCACAGAGCCTGACACAGGGCTTGATCTCTCGAACTGTGAGATCATGACCTGAGCCGAAATCAAGAGTCAGATGCTTAATGACTGAGCCACCCTGGCACCCCTGTAACATGAGCTTTTTTAAGCTGAGTGGGGATGCACAGGTATTCTCTGTAGTAGTCTTCCGAATTTCTATAGATCTTAAATATGAATCAATCTTTAAAAGAAGAACATCCCAATGGTAATCAGTCAGAAATAATGACATCTAAAGAACATTTAGTCCCTGCAAAACAGTTCTTTGAGTGTTCACAATGTAACACTCTTCCTTCCTTCACACACTCGTCTCTCCATCAGTATTCCATTAAATGCCAACATCTAAAAGTTACTGCACTTTAGGCATCTGGTTGTAAGCTAACCCCGCAACAGCAGGCCAGGGACACTGAGGGCTCTGCTGGCTCTGTAGTGGGCAAATCAAATGGAAACTAATCTTGTCTCAGAAACTTACGAGTCTGGTGACTTTGAGTAGCCGCTGCCAAAGAGGCTGCGCAGAGAGCGTGGCGGCGAGATCTTGGCGTCCCGGGAGTAGAAGACCATGCACACGTCTTTGGTGATGACCGCTGGCTGGATGCAGTGGTCCAGCTGCAAGCAGAAAGGGGGGTGGGGGGGCTCCGATTAAACGCAGACGCAGCACCTGGGGCAGGAGTCTGTGCACGGCCACAGCTGGAAAGCTGGTCCCAGATGTGGGGCGGGAAGACTTCAGCTCTACCAGTTATTTCAACCGCAACTCAGCAGATAATATGTGCGAGATTAGGCAGTAGTCCTTGCACCTGCTTTATTTTTCTAATATTTTTTAAAGTTTTTTTTCTGTAGGGGCACCTGGGTGGCTCAGTCGGTTAAGCGTCCGACTTCAGCTCAGGTCATGATCTCACGGCTCGTGGGTTCGAACCCCATGTCGGGCTCTGTGCTGACAGCTAGCTCAGAGCCTGGAGCCTGTTTCGGATTCTGCGTCTCCCCCTCTCTCTGCTCCCCTGCTCATGCTGTCTCACTCTCTCTCTCTCAGAAATAAAGAAAACATTAAAAACGTTAAAAAAAAAAGTTTTTTTCTGTAATAATGGCTAATGTTTATTATTGATTATGTGCCAACCACTGTTCTAAATGCTCATGTATGATCTCTCCATACCTTTCTGAGGGAGATGCCATTATTTTTATGCTGTTTAAGAAATGAGGGAACTGAGGCAGAGAGAGATGAAGTCTCTGTGTAAGGACATGCTGGCAGTAAGCGGCTGCACAGGGATCTGAACTCAGAGGGGCTGGTTCCACGGTCTGTGCTGTTAACTGCCACTGGCCTCTGCCCACAACTGCAAACACAGAGGCCAAGTTTTCTTAAGCTCATACCTTCCTTGAAGAATGGTGATTAGGCTACTAAAACTGATGCTATAATAGAAATCATAGGACTTTTTTAAAAAAAATTAGGGGCGCCTGGGTGGCTCAGTCGGTTAAGCATCTGACTTCGGCTCAGGTCATGATCTCACAGTTCGTGGGTTCGAGCCCCACGTCGGGCTCTGTGCTGATAGCTCAGAGCCTGGAGCCTGTTTCACATTCTGTGTCTCCCACTCTCTCTGACCCTCCTCTGCTCATGCTGTCTCTCCCTCTAAGAAATAAATAAAACATTAAAAAAAAATTATTTGTTACTATTTTTTTTAGTAATCTCTACACCCAACATGGGGCTCAAACTCACGACTGCAAGATCAAGAGTCGCAACCTCTTCTGAGCCAGCCGGGCACCCCATCGTATGACTTTTTGATTAAATAGAGACTAGGAACAGAATCTCCCACAACCAGAACGGCAGCAAATAGTTGACAAAAATCAGTCAAATCATTCCTCTTCATCTCCTGTGGTCATCTGCCCACTGCTCATGTGTGACCATTCAAGTTCAGAGTCTCCTCACCTCTAGGTATGCTGACAAGGTCATGTAGATCTTTTCCCCATAGGGTGTCACGCGGTTCAGAAGGAGAGAGTTATGGAGGGAGCTGTCCCACACAGCATCGAAACGGTAGAAGGTCCTAAGGTCAGAAAGGCAAGAGGGAATTATCCAAAGAAGTGAAGTCACCTTAGTTCAGGTACTATTACTGTCAGTAATGCTACCGAATCCTACACCAACACACACTTTCAATATATCAAAATCTAACAACAGAGTGGGGCTTTTATCCCCGGGAGGAAAAGGCCCCATTTCTCACCCCACCCGCTGTGCAGGGCGCTCAGCTATGCCTTTTTTTCCCCCTTGACAAGCCTGCCTTTCTGCCTATAAACATAAAAATAGATCAATCAGAGAGATTAAGATGAAAAGGATAAGTGGGTATGGACAGAAACTAAAGGAAGAAAGCCTAAGTAAGCTCCTCCATCAGTCAACAAAGAGAGAGGGAAGCAAATCCTCAGCAGCTTGGAAGCCTGTCTTCACATCACAATCTGCTTCTGCTGAGCCTCTGAAATGTCACAGATCTACCTGAGAAGACTGATGGAGGAAACAGGTAGAATAATTTAAGTACAGGGAGTCTTATTTTAAATTAAAAAACAAGCAGTTATCCTTAGCTGATGTTTTTCAGTAAAAGAATGATTTTAAAGCAGAGCTCGACAACTACTTTTTGTTACTTTTCAAAAAAGAATCCACATGAAAACCAATCTTACATTTAAATACCTGGAAGCTTGATTTAATAAATACCTATAACTTTTTAAAGTTGTTCTAGTATCTTCTTCCCTTCCTCCTGGTAAAACCCGGTAGACCCGACCTGACACCGGTTCTGGCCATTCTGCAGTCTCAGCTGAAGCACGTGCTGAATTACAAACCAGCTGCCGACTGCCCGCAGTCCCCCCAAGCCACCCCCTCCCCCCCAGCCCCGTAGCAAGCAAGTGTCTACCTCTGACAGTGCGGGTCCCACCACTGCTGGCTCTCACCCGATTCGGGTAGAAAGAGCTTCTGCACGCTCTGCGTCCTGCCCGATACACTCCTCCTAGCTCCTTCCCAAATGGTAACCTTGCTATTGCTGTCTTTTCTAGATTTCCTATGACAAATAACTGGCATATTTTCTCTCTAAACACACGCCCGTGTTGCCTTCTCCTGAAACAGTCGAGAGATAACAATTCACTTCTAAAAGAACTCCCTAGCCACACCTCCTCCTCTGCCTGCCAGGGTGTGAAGCCTGACCAGTTCACCCTGTAGCTGCTTCTACATAAGTCTTCTCAAGTACCTGACACTCTCCCAAACGTCTAGCTGTTGATGCAGTGTGGATGGGTCAGGAAAACACAAAGACACCAAAGGAACACAGAACAATTAACACGACAGAGACAGATGAAGCAACGAACGGACTCAAAAAGCAACCACAAGGAAGGACGGTAGGGGTCCTCCACGGCTCCTGGGCTCAGCAGAGAACACTTTATGCATCCACGACGCCCTGATTCAAAGAATTTATTTTGGCTAAAAAGACAAATTCTAATACTGGGTGGTCAAAAGCACTATTTGGGCAGAAGCTCCCTGAGAGCTCTGTCACCTGAGACTTCGCTTTTATTGTGTCTCCGTGTGTATCGAGGTACCTGGAAGGGGGCCCGTCTGTTGTATCACAAGGTCTGGACACACCTGTGCTGAAGTGGAATGAACCCACTTCTTAGAGCGAGGGTATTTATGACTCTGGAGAAGCCGGCAGAAGTCTCTGTCACTGCTGCCTATAATCTGTGACCGTTAAAGTTTCACACCAGGACTTAGCACCTCCCAGTGCCAATATTTAGAGTTCATGGCTCTCTTTCAACTGGGGCAAACATTTTGAATTTGTGAAAGAAAAAGCCTTTTCATTTCTGTTTTCAGGCTGGGTTTTCTCACTTAACCTAAGGAGGAAATTTCAGTGGTAGAAACTTGGCTAACAAAAAGGAATTTTTGACTCCACTAAAATCTTCCTGTATTGTGGGGGGTGGGAGGAGGTGGGTTTTGTTTTGTTTGGCACTTGGGGGTGCTGCAGCCCATTCTTTTGGAATACCCACTGAAGATGGCAATTCTTCAGAGGCAGTTGTTAAGAAACATCACTGGTGAGAAATGTCAAATGAATCAAGGTAGCAAGAGAATTTAGAATTAGAAACAGGGCTGAGTCCTGAGTCGTTTTCCTGTGTGGCTCCTACAGTGGTTAAGAAATGATCCTAAAATGGATTTCTCGAGATGTTCTGAACAAGGGCAGTGCATGTGCATGTGTGCACGCACGTGTGTGTATATCTTTAAAAACCAAACAGACATTTTAGGCTATGTTGATATGTATCACTTCCTTCAGTTTTCTTCCCTAAATTAGATGAAGAGAGATGGGAAAAGACTTCCTTCACTATTGAACCAGGATTTTTTTCTACTGCAAAAGAAGAAAATAAATAGATAAGCCAAGTAGCCCTGACAGCAGAAAGAGAAATGTTTAAAAATAAACAGCCTATTTCTCACAGACTCAGCTGCCCAAATAGCTAAACTGGTCTCTTCTACGGCACAGGACAAAACAAAGACAACAGTGAGTAATTATGCAAAGCTACAGAGCAACAAAACCTTTCAAGCTTCTGACAGAGAGAGGACAGACAAAGAACAGAAAACCCAGCCTGAGATTCCGTGTGAAAGGAGGGGAGGGACGCTCTAATCTGTAATGCAGCGGAGGAAAATTTGAGGGCGCGCAAGAATAAAATGGACAGGTTTAGCCAAGAGAATGAGAGAAGACGAACCCTACCAATCAGTTAAGAAGCTGCGTGTGAAACTATACACATCAGGAAAACCCAGGGAACGAAGGGTGCAGGAGAAGGCGTTGCTCTATCCTCGGTCTGCATGGGGAAGAACTACTAAATTAAAATAGCAGTCCAAGCAACGTAAGACATAAAGCGTTCTGATAAACTAAAATCTTTATGTACAAAAAAGCAAACAAAATACCTAGGAATATCCTTATCAAGAAAGAGCCTGCAAAAACATAGAAAAGGCTTTTGTTAGTGCAGTAGCAGCAGAACAAACAAGACGAGAGAAAAGCAGAAGAGAACAAAAATACATAAAAAAGACCAATTTTCTGCTAAGCCAAGTAAATTCAAGTGGACAATTAACAGAGAACTCCATGGGGCACAATTTGATAGACAGCTTACAATGACATGGGTCCCTCTCTCCTGAAACATTTAGTTAAGGAAAATGCTGGGCACAGAAGGGACAGTAGGGGGTCACCTCTATTAACCCCCCCTCTCTGCAGGTGACTCGGGCTTGGAAGGGGTAGGAAGTTGCTGTGGAGTTAAGGGCAAACCAAATCAATTCAGTAACACAGATGCAGGACTGGGAAGAAAAACTGCGGTGGTCCCTGTTGGTCACAAGCCACCATCAACACACAGAGGTGCTCTCTCATAGATACACGTGCACAGATAACACGTTCTTCAAGTTCACCTTGAAACATTAAACCTTAGGCAAAAAGAACACAAGCTCTTCACCAAATTTCACTTAGCAACTTGCCAAATTAACGTATGCTCTCCATATTCCTAAAACATAAAGACGGATGTCTGTTTCGCACTGAGCATCCTAAACTGGACGGGTACCTCATTCACCTGGTCTGCTCCTTGGAACTGAGTGGTGTGCTTATCAGGTGTCAACAGTATTTGGTCTTGACCTTGGTTATGCAGTTGTGATTATGATTATCTAACTTAATCCATTATTAGGCAACTCAATGAAAGGTGAGGGCAAAAATAATTTTTGTTCAGTGTGAAACAAAATGACATTTAACATTGAAAAGATTTGATAATGCTGAGTTGTTTAGAAAACAGCAGTTAAATTAAGTTTGGGTGTGATCAATGTAAAAAAGAGAAATGTTAAACTTTTAATGACAAATGATTAAAGTTTAGAAGATTTTGCAATTAGATTTTCTTCATAGGTTTCTAGTTCTTGCTCCACAGAATTAAAAATCACAGATGATAAATTATGGGTATGGTTTTGCAAGAAAGATAATCAGAAGTCCAATAAATAGGGCTACAATTAAGGAAAAGGCCTTGGCCCTACAGCAGGAGCTTGACAAGCTCAGGTACATTTATACAACTTAAATTAAAATGTTTAAAGTGCGTATCTTTCTATTTTACTTGACGTGAGGCAACTTTTTTGATTGATCAACTCTATACCTCTGTTGTGAAAGATAAGCTGCTTCTAACAAAAAAGCCAAATTCATCTCCGACTCTATCTGATGCGAGGCTGGGTATGAACCATGACCTCTGAAGGCTGCGTTAACACAGGCAATTCAGCACAACCAGCATTTCAACCCAACATCATCCTTCTCTGTAAGTTTTGCTAAGGAGCCTGGGGAAATTTAAGATTTCTCATAGTTGCAAAGAAAATGTGGTGAATGCTGGCCGGGTATTTGCTATCAACTTGTGGCAGGCGGGGCCACCATGTAGGGTTAGTGCTGACTTCAGAGAAACAGTGTTGTTCACAGTTCCGCCCAGGAATAGACCAGAGGGGGCCAGGGCACACTTCTTTCCCTCTGTACCCCCCGGCCGCCCCACATAGGCACGCTCTGCTACTCAGCCCCTCTCCCTCACAGCATGTGCAGCTCCTCCTGCAGGCAAAAAGCGAACAGACATTTGCTTTTTTCTCTTTCCTCTGCAAAACTATAACACAAGGGAACGATGGAAAAAAAATTATTCCTGGCCCAAACTTTTAATCCCATTTCTGCCGTCCTTTGTCTCATTTTTTCCTCTCTCTCGTCCCAACACAGATGTGAGCAAGTTTTTCAGGAATAGACAAAAGTATCCAGAAGTCCTCCTATAATGCACAGGCAGTGTTCCGAGCCCACCTCCACACACACAGCCACCCATTTCCCAGCCCTCGCTACATAAAGGGCTGGCGTCTCTGTGCGCAGTGACAGACTCCTTTCCTGGGGAGGCATGGGGCCCAGCAGATCCATCTCCCGTCTCACACGGGGGAGCAGACTGGCTAGGTGCCTTATGCACTGTCTGTCATCACTGGATTGGAAAATGGAATTTTGAGGGAAACTAACTTAAAGTTTAAAATAAATTAGAATTCATTATTTATAGCGTATAACCTTGGTGAGGAGAGTTTATATGTATTAATTTATCTCCTTTACGAGTAAACGAAAATGAAAAGCAAACACTGAGAACCCCCCCCGAGCCTATGCCGGCAGCAGCAAAGGTGAACCACAGAGGCCTCGCTCAGCCTGGGAGGACATGTTTCTGACACATAGGACAGACAGACCTTTCCCACAGCAACCACTTCATAGGAGAACACTTAGTCTCAGCAACAATTAATCTGTACTTTTAAAACCTTAGGTAGAATGCTGAATTTTCTTTTTCTGTTCTCATCTCTAAGACTGTGCTGCATCTACTCCAACTCCACTGAGGACAGGATATTTTCACTCTATACTGGACCCACACACACCTATCTCCACAATTATTTACCTTGGAGAGCATGGTGGCAGGGAGGAAAGGGATGTCTGAAGTGAGAAAGGAATTCGTTTCTGCCCCTGCGCAGGAGTCACTGATGAACAAGGAATCTAATGGTGTAGCCCCCGCCTGCACAGGGTGACAGACGACACTGCGTTGGGCCCCTACCTGCTGGAGTTGTGGGAGGATTTCAGGTACTTGGCAGAGATAATATTGAGGGAGAGGATGGCATCAACCGCAGCCTCATCCACTTCGGCCTTATTCCTGATCCGGCCTACAAGAAAGTTAACTGTACTTTAAAAAAATTTTTTTAAGGTTTATTTTTGTGAGGAAGGGGAGGGAGGGAAGGAGGGGCAGAGAGAGAGGGAGACAGAGAATCTGAAGCAGGCTCCAGGCTTTGAGCTGTCAGCACAGAGCCTGATGCAGGGCTCGAACCCACCAACTATGAGATCATGACCTGAGCCAAAGTCAGACGCTTAACTGACGAAGTCACCCAGGTGCTCCTATTCAACTGCACTTCTAACCTTCACTCTCTTCAGGGGCCAACTATACTTCATTTTCTACATTTAAAAACATTAATTCTGTGGCTTCCCCACTGCCAAAGGGGTCTGTGGCAATACAAGATCCAGAACCCTGCCTTGGACTCTAAAGCTTATATGGCTTATCCAGTTTTTTCTTCTCATCAGGTGACCTGGCCATCGGCTTCTAGTCCCTTATTCAAGATGTTTCTGTATGTGGAAAACAAGACAAATGAGAACCCTCTAATTTTTCCCACGTCTGTTAAGATCCTCCTGAATCCTCTCTATTGTTAATTCTCAGCAACGGGTCTTTCTTACTTGCCCTCACTCTGACACTTACTCATCAAACTGCTCTATTAATTTATTATTTTTTAAGTTTATTTATTAATTTAAGTAATCTCTACACTCTGCATGGGGCTTGAACTCATGACTCTGAGACCGAGAGTCGAATGCTCTACTGACTGAGCCCGCCAGGCGCCCCCCACTTGCTTTACACATACATATGCTGTTGCTGTCTCCTCAGCAAAACTGCAGGCTTACAACTGAGCAGACACTTCTCTTATGCTCTCTCAGAACCTCTAAAACAGAGCCATTCCCATGGTAACTGAGTAAAACAGTGGTTGGTTGAGGGCCCACCTGGGTGGCTCAGACGGTTAAATACCCAATTCTTGATTTCGGTTCAGGTCATGATCTGAACATGGTTCATGAGACTGAGCCCTGTGCTGACAGCACAGAGCCCGCTTGGGATTCTCTCTCTCTCCCTCTCTCTCCCTCTCTGACCCTCCCCCAATCACGCTCTCTCTTGCTCTCTCTCTCAAAAATAAATAAATAAGCATTAAAAAAATAATGGTTGGGGGGCGCCTGGGTGGCTTAGTCTGTAAAGCGTCCGACTTTCGCTTGGGTCATGATCTCGCGGTTCGTGGGTTCGAGCCCCGCGTCGGGCTCTGTGCTGACTGCCAGCTCAGAGCCTGGAGCCTGTTTCAGTCTGTGATTCCCTCTCTCTCTGACCCTCCCCTGCTCATGCTGTCTCTCTCTCTGCTAGAAATAAATTAAAAAAATAAAAATTTAAAAAAAAAAAAATGGTTGGTGGAGTAACATATCCCTAATGATGAGAGTTGAGAAACAGAGTAGTTGCAAACTCCAGACCACATATTCCCCAGTATTCCTTCTGCACATTCTCTGTGTTCCTCAAAAAAGCCTGGCTCCGTCCTCAGCTGACGGCACGTACTCACCTACCACCAGCTCACGAACGTCCTTCCAATGGAGCTCACTCCCCTTCTCGTGGATAATGGTCACTGTGATCCTCCGCTGGATGCCCTAGGTAATGGAGCAGGGTGGTAATTTAGCTGGGACAACAAATTAGTTGTTTTCTGGATTGTATGATGTGGGGGTGGGCAAGAGCAGAGGAACAGAGAGGGGGGAAATGCTGTCCCCACTGATACTCTTTTTTTTTTTTTTTTTAACATTTTTTTCTTTTAAATAGGCTCCACACCCAATGTGGGGCTAGAACTCACGACCCTGAGATCAAGTCACATGTTCTACTGAGTGAATCACCTTGGCGCCCTCTCCACTGTTATTCTAAACAAAGGGATCTAGGTCAGGGGTTGAGGAAGAGACAGGTTTTGATATGGCTTTAAGAACAAGTGACCATATGGTGTGACCCAGAATATGAGACCCCCAGCTCCTATGCCTACCTGGGTGATAAGCATTTAAAAAAAATTTTTTTAAGTTTTATTTGTTTCTGAGAGAGAGAGAGAGAGAGAAAGACAGCGTGAACAGGGGAGGGTCAGAGAGAGAGGGAGATACAGGATCTGAAGCAGGCTCCAGGCTCTGAGCTAGCTGTCAGCACAGAGCCTGACACAGGGCTTGAACCCACGAACCGTGAGATCATGACCTGAGCCGAAGTCGGATGCTTAACTGACTGAGCCACTCAGATGCCCCCCCAAAATTTTTTTTTCCGTAAGATTTTACTTTTAAGTAATCTCAACACCCAGTGTGTGGCTTAAACTCACAACCCTGAGATCAAGAGTCGCAGGCTCCACTGACAGAGCCAGCCAGGCGCCCCGGTCATAAGCATGTCAGAGCACTGACTGAATCTACTTTTGATTTACCAAAGGGGGATACCTACATTTCATGGCCAGATTTCAGTCCCTTGCAACTTTCATCCTCTATCTCCATTAAGAACTTTCAACTATAAAAGTACAGTCTCCAAACATGAGAACCGTATACAAGAAAATAAAATGGTATAAAATGACACGGGAGCTGCACCAATCATAGTAACTGAATACAACAGTCTTTTTCCAAACAGGTCTCTCAAAATAGATTTCTGCATATGAGCAAGGGTATAATATAAGCCAAGGTGTGAGGAAGAAACATTAAAAAATATACAAAAAAAGAAAAAAAAAGTACAATGTCTCCTTATCCCCAAAGCTGCTTAAAGTGGAGAGGGAAAGCAGAGAAACAGAAAGAGCTTATTTCGGGTCTGTCCTAGGCCCCCTCTGGCTCCCTCATCAGTACCTGGTGAAGCAAAAATGTCCCCTGGCAGGGCAAGCCTGCTGTGTGGTCAACCACAGCTGGGATGTACCTAGAAGAACAGAAACGCCGGAGAAAGCAGTCAGACGGGATGCCTGCAGCCAGTGCTCTACATGCAAGGTCTTCCCGGGGCGCCAGCCCCTAGCGGTCTCAGTTTCCCTGGTCTTCCTCACCATCTGGGCATTCAGTTCGTCACACGGTCACTGGCATTTCATAAACCTTCTCACGTATCCGTGCCACATCACCCTTACTGGACCCAAGTGCTCAAAGCACAGTAACATTTTTGGCTCCCTCCCAGCCTCCTGCGTAACAGATAGTCTGTATATAATGTACAACTGCAACAGCACGTGTCAGGAGATAAGAATCAGGAAGCAATGAACTCCGTAGAAACTACTACTATAACTATGTCTCCCACATAATGCAAGTTATAATCACATTATAGATCTGTCTACAGAAAGTATAATTTCTTAAAGCAATGTCACTGCTGACAACGAAATATGGTACTGATACAGCCAGACTCTCATATTAGTAGGAACACAAAAAATGTTGCATGGAGATGAGCATGATGGTGGTACTCAGCATTACAGAGGATCATTAGGATAATATTTATTCCTTATCCTTTACATTAACTAATAAAACCCCTTGCCTCTGTTTCAGGAATGGGATCTTTTTTTATTTGTGTTTTTCCAAATGCAATTTAGAGGCAACTGTGAACAAGAATTATATTCCCCACTCACTCTAAAACAGCTCACACACACAGAGTAAGCTGATGCGGGTTATTTTCATCTAGGACAACAGACCTCAACCGGGGGTGACGTGTAATGTCTGAAGACATGTTTGGTTGTCACACTGAAGGGAGGCGCTACTGGCACCTGTGGGAAGAAGCCGGGATGCAACTACGTAGCCTACGATGCACAGGACAGTGCACCCCCCAGCCCATGACACAGACCTGTCGGGCTCAAAACAGTGCCAAGGTTGAGAAACCCTGGTCCAAAGAAACATTTTCCCCCCAAATCCTCTGAGATTATTAAGATAAGTCTTGACTATATTATGCGCAAAATGCTTCTGATTCTCTTTGCTTTGCTGCTGTGAAAATCCACACACAAGGTGCCCGTCTCCATGTTCTTGCTGTTGCGAATAAGAAAGCAAATTAGTATTCTGGACAGTCCCTTCTTTGACAAACACATAATTCAAAGAATAACACCACCAAAAAGTCAATTCCAAACTGGAATTCAACAGTGACAATGATTCATTAACCTGAATAGGAGCAGAGAGGCTCAAAATTACATTTTCTAATTTTGAAAAACTTTGCCCTTGTTTAAAAATTTAGAAAGTTGGACTTACTCTCCCGTAGGCTCCAGTTCACTGATCTCAAACCAAACCAGAAGATCATACTTGCTCATGCTCTGGCCAAGGCTCGTTTTGCTCATGGTGTTTAACTTGGTGGCTGGAACTTTTAAAAGTTTTTAGAAAATATCAAAATCTGGTCCAAGTCTACTTAGTAAAAAGTATAAACTTTTCTTCAAGGACACACGTGGGAAAGGCAACAAGAGTCAGGGCTACAGGTCAGTGCAGAAGACTCAGAAAAACATCACCACCTATGACATTAGTGCCTCTCGCTTCAGAGAACGGGGAAAATGGAGAGGCCGCGTCTTTCTCCCTCTCAAAAAACGGTATCCATCGACAAGAAAACGGGTTTCATGCAGAGTAAACATGCTCACAAAACTGTTCCTTAGACCCTCCCATTTTCTTTCTTAGACGTACCTTCCTTAGACCCTGGTAACAATGTGGGAGACACAACATGGGCGGAGCCTCACACCACAGGGTCTCTGCACAGCTGGAACGCGTGAGGGAGGGCCCATGCTCCAACCCCAGGGTGCCCAAACCCCCCTGCACACTGGAGTCACCCGGCAAAGCGCAGGCAATTAAACCACCATCTCCAGGGGTGGGACCCAGTCCCCCGAGAGGACCGAACCCCCTCCGGGGGACTCTAATGTGCGGGTAAGTTTAGGAACCACTGGTCTAAGATGTAAATACAGGACTCTATAAATGATCTTATGTTATACATTTTCTTCATATTTAAACTCCATATTCTTAACCGTACTGGTGAAATGAATTAGCCAAAAACACAGAATTTCTACGAATTCCAAATTCTACATGGTGGCCATTTTGAAACACTACACAGAAGTTCCAAAATCTGGCAATACAAAGAGCATTCTCTGCTCAGAAGCTGGGAGCACTGGAGTGAGAGTCGGTGGCTTGGGATCTAATACTGTCCAATCACTATTTAGGAGACTTTGGTTGAGTCGCTGAATCTCCGGGAGTCTGTCTCCTCATCGATGAAACGTAGATCATTAATATTTAGGCTGCTATCTTGACAAGGTATCGTGAGGACCCACTGACAGGAGGCATCTAAAGGGGCCCCATACACACAGCACTAGTCAAATGTTAGCTTATCTGCACTATTCACGCCAGGTGAATTCTACACAAGTTGGTAACGCTAGTCAACAAAAAAAATAGTGTCACTGATTCTGGTGGTCATCTGATGGTTGGCAAGCAAAATAAGAAGCATTAAAAAAAAAACCCACCTACTAATAAAAAATCTTTGAAATTAAAGATACCATTACAAAGAATCCAAATGAGCAAACAGGGAGGCCCTCACCTTATGTGATGTGCACGAAGCACAAGGAGAGAAGGTGTGCCATCACATCTCTCCAAAGGAAATGTGATCCTGACAATATGCTAGACTCGACATTCAGTTCAAGCAGCAAAGAGAAACCCCAGTGTTTCATACGCAGAGAGCCAGGCTTTAGGGTTAGCCCTAAGGACGGTTCTACATCTAAGGCAGAGCTAAGTCAGCTACTAACCATCTCGTTTAGGCGCCCTCTCACTCTGGCAGCTGGGGACTGGCAGAGAGAGGAAAGGGGGCGATGTGTCCGCCCCATCCTGGAAGGTGGCGACAGCGGAGGAAGCAAGCGCGTTGGCGTGCTCAGAAACCGCGTCCAACACATGCACATTCACATAGTCAGCTACGAGAAACCGAATCAGTTCAATCTTTCTCTCATGGTCTGAAGGCAGGATGGAGAGAGGCAGCACGGAGATGGAGAACAAGTGGGGGGCCGGGGTCGGGGTGGGGGGGGGGCGTGGCAATTGGGCAACAAGGAGAGAGGATGAAAACGAAGAGAGAGCAAAACACGATGAATAAACATGCAGAATACATTTGATATGCAAAGAAACATGCGGTGGCCAATCAGTTATGAGAAGTTACATACAAAGCGGAGAGATTTAGGAACAGGGAGCTTATCAAAATCTGTAATAAGACCAGGAAGTTGGCAGGGAGAGAGCGCCCTATCATTTCTTACTTCCTATTTAAATCAGGAACCAAGAATCCTAGCTCCTGCTAGACACAGGGATATGTAAGCACACACCAAGTGGAGCGGGAATTTGAAAATGATTTCAATCTGAAAAGCCATCAGAATCAGAGCTGTGTCACCCTGAGGAGGGCTCACCTGGCTTGGAGAGTGGCATGGGAGGAGGGAAGAACCTTCGAGACGGCTGAGGTGGACTGCAAAGGAAGGGGACAAAGTTCAAGACTGAGAAAGGGTCCTATATTCAATGGCATGTTTAAATCCCCTCTAGAAACTAACAGGTCATTGGGACTTTCAGATGAGGCATAATATCAGATACCAGTTATAAACCCACACAATGAAACTGAAGCAAAGACATTTTAATAAAAGTGACTTTGAGGGTCCTAGTTAATAAATAAGAGAAGTTTTCTGTTAACACTGACATTCTGCCATCTCCCAAAAGGCCCCATCGTTGCTCTCCTCATCAATTTTGATGTCTCCACTTATAGCTCAGGCTTCATATGGGTCTGGGTTAGTTAGGAACAATTACACACAATTCTCATGTGTATCACCTCAACTCTCTATACTATTCAAAGTCTCTTCCTACACAAGAGATGACACCCCAGGTCAGCTGGGCAGAATTCAATGTGCTCCACCTACAATTAGTAATTTGGTGGCTTAGAAAAAAGGTGGTGACGTTTCTAAAGAGGAAGTATCAGGTACCATGGAAAACTGTTCTTTAGTTCTCTTAATCCCTCAAAAGATTTCTTCCTTCCTGGCAAGTGGCAATAACAGTGACAACGACCCAACAATAACATCAGCAACAAGAATCTTTGCTTATCTGGTCCCAACCTGTTAAGGTCCTGTCCTTGCAGATGAAGTGGGTGCTGCTGATAATGCCCAAAGACTTCAAATACTATCGGCTTGGTTTTGATGTATTCCACGAATGATTCGGTGACCTCCACTGCAATCTAATGAGGAAGAAAGCCAAGCTAGATTAGGGAACGATTTACTCTAACACACACATTTCTGCTGTAGTCAGAATTTTAGCACTTCTGAGTAGCTGGTACGCGCTGGGGATGTGACTCTGCAGGTCTCAAGTCTCCCACGCCAAGACAGGGGTCCGCCCCGGTTTTCATTCTAAAGCAACCGTAGCAAGCTTCAGGCCTTCAAGACCCTCCGTCATCTGCACCTGCTGCCCTTCACACACTTTTTGTTTTGGCACAAACACCTGCCGCCTGTTGTGCCTGAGGACCCGCCCAGGCTATGGCCCCCGTAAGGCCTGCCCCCCACAGAAAAAGTAACTTAAAGTATCTTTCTGTTAGTGGAAGTAACTTTCCCTTCTTTCTACTCCCTTTGCATTTAACAAATACCTTGCTATATAAGGTGTCTAGACCACATGACACTACTGTTTCCATAGGCATTTTATTTCTCTTCAGGGACACAACCCTCTGGGACTCATCCCGCTTCCCTGATGGCGTCAGGCACAGCCCTTGTGTGCGCACCATCCCCATCAGTTTTTCTCAGATGCACACATGCTCAGACTCAAGCAATTAAACATAAAGAAAGTGGGTTTGGGGTTTGCTGTTCCATTTTCAGAGCTGTCCTTTCCGCTCGGACTTTAAAGAGTGAGTACGGTTAATGAGAACGAGAGCAGTTCATGTGTGAAAATCCTAGACACCACAGCCACACTGCTCTGGGCTTAAACCCCATCTCTGCCGCTTCTGAGTTCCGTAACCTTGGTGAGTGACTTTAACTGCTCTGTGCCTCTGTTATCTCAGCTGTCATTTGGGGGTTCTGAGGGTATGCGGTAGGAAGGTGAGGATTAGATGAATTAAGACACACACAAGAAGCACTCAGAACAGTGACTGACACAGAATAAGCTCTCAAAGAATGTTAGCTATTGTGGTGAGGATGATGACTTTTGAATAGAGTTTGGGTGGCCCTTCCTAGAAGACACAGAAGGTCTGTTGTCTTACTCCACATCTGAGAGAGCTGTAAGGGGCACTAATGGATTACATAGTATCAGCTGTAGGAAAACAGACTGCATCTTAAGTTAGCTACAAAAGATAATTTAATTTTTCCTACATTATTTGCAATTGAGCAAGTATCTTAGAGTTTAAAGGACAATACGTTAACTTTAACAAAACTCGTACTAAACGTACTTATTTTTCTAGGAAAGAAACACTAAAATCAACTCACTACATTCAAACTGATGGAAGGTTTTATTGGCAAACCAACCCCCACAATGTGGGGCCCATTGTTTCACAGGGAAAGCTGGCCGCTCAGTCCACTGGGGATGACCTCACCGCTCTGGCCATTCCCTCCATTGTCTATTCTCGGGCCAAGCTCCACCACCGCCGCTCTGCCCCCACCGCCGGCACAGCAGTTTTGAGCACCCTCCCTCCTGGGCTGAGAAAGCCAGGGGCCGCCCACGTGAGGGCCTCACACCAGCCACTCTGAGGCCCCCGGACCTGCAAGGCGTTGGGCCAAGAGTCCAGGTCACTTACATTCTGCACGTGATAAAAGCCCAGGGGACTTCCTCTGCCATTGTTTTTGAGGGGTTCGGTGGAGAATGCTTCATCATGGCGATGCAAAAAGCTTAATAAAAAGATAAGACACATGAATTTCACATTAAACAGTTTCATCAAGATCGATGTCTAAGTTAGCTGACTTGGATCGTATGGAAAGAAGCAGCCTAGTTCAGCAGAGGCCTTCGCTCAGCCAAGTAACTTGTAGTTCCTTGTGATGCACATTTTCCATGGTCACTCAGACAGCATTTTAGACTTTATTTCAAAAATGACTGAAAGAGTAACTGACCCTGACCACTCAGGCATCTGGATGCATACACAAGAAGACCTCAGATAGAGCAAGAGTGAATTCAGTGAATTTCTGTTTCTTTGTAGGAACATATTTTACTGAGGAAAAAATAAAATGTAAAATCATTTTGTGTAGAAAAGATGTGGCATGGTCAAGCTTCTGGAAGGTAGTACTAAATCCTGTTCGGCATTCTTGCCGAGGAGTCTCTTTAAAGACCTGCAAAGATTAGATTTAAAAGTCATCTCTTCCAGGAAGTCTTCCCCGACTCATCCAAACAGTTTTGTCTTCCCATAGCACTAGGGACCCATTTTTCCTCAATATCAAAGATTTCACTCTTTATATTAGTGTATTTATATGCCTGTCTGCCCGAGAGACAGCAAGTATCTCCTACAGTGCTCCAGATACAGAAGATACTCCTGAAATATCTGCGAAGCAACAGTCTATGCTTATTCATTCTCACAGACAGTGAGTTTTTAATGTTCTCTCTCCCTCCTTATTAGTCTGAAATGAAGAGTAGAGAATTAAAGAAAACTCAATACAAAGACTTACTCCCAGAGGGAAATATCCATCAGAAGGACATCCCACAAGAAAAAAAGGGAGGAAAAGGAAGACTTTGAACAGGGCCCAGGCACCAGGATTATGAACTGTCTGTCTTTCAAATCAGTTCACGGAGGCTGAGGGTGGCAGTGTACTCCCACCCCACGCTCCCCCCGGGCGCCACCTGCTGCTGGCACTGTAGCATTCCGTACTACACGCCCCTTTTCCTGTGGATTTTCTTCTCAACCTTCTCCCTACCCCGCCCCTGCTTGTACTTCTTACTCCTTTTGTTCCTTCCAATTTCTTCCTATGCAGACCATACACTATACGTGCCAGAGGCCCCAGGGGCATTACTTGATTTGCGATCTCTACTCCTCCAGTGCTCTGCTTATGACAGCAGGTACAAATATCCTGCGGCTCCACACTGTGACGCATGAAATCATCCACACTGCTGGACACTGTGTCTTCTCTACACAGGCCAGATGAGAGTCTGTAACAGCCCAAGAAGAATCTGAGTCTTCTTTCAACATGAGTCAGCACACCCGCTTCTCCAGAGCTGACACCAGGTGGAGATGCTGCTCTCTCTTTGGAGATTTTAGGACAAAAGGTCAACCTAACATTATTGGCATTTCAGAAGCCAGTTAATGGAGTAGGTCTGTTCCATAAAATATTCTAGTTGCCTAATGAGAAAAACAACGAAGCTCAAAGCAACTGGTTCATTTAGCAAACTCCATTGCACCCCTCCCCCCATTTTGATTTAGGGTTGCTAGTGAAAACACACTGAATGGGCAAAATCAGTACTTCAGCAACAGTTACCAGTTACGGCAAATGACACTAGTGGCCTACTATGGCAGCAGTCACATTTGATTCAGGACTTGGCTACAATCTCCAGAAAGGCAGTGCTTTGTCAACTGCATTAGGATGCCTGGGAAAGATGAGGCACATTCTGAAGGAGAGGGATGGCAGAACTTTCTAGAGCAGCCTCGTGGTGGCACCAGGGGCCAACTGGTAGAACAGGGCGGGTCAGATGTCACTCTCTGTGGTCCTTTACAAGCACTGAAAAGATATAGTGCTGTCTGGAGGCATTAGAACTTAAGACTGTCAAAAAAGTTTTTTCCGAGGGAGGCCTTAAAAAGAACTCCAAGGCTCAAGAGGGTTATAGGCTGGAGAGAGCTTGTAGCAGATGAGGAGCTAAACCGGTCACATCTTCTCCACATACTGGCTATTTTCTAGTTGATGTGGAAATACTGTCTTTTGTATTATTTAAGTTAGTACTGAACAGGCATGATGGGTGGGTGGACAATTCGCGGCCCTCAGACTTGTTTAATAGTAAGATACTTCCCCATGCAGAGCATTAAAACGACTACTAAACAGGCTTATCTAGATCGGATGGTGTACTTCCAGCAGAGGGGACAGGCCACAGCGGAACCCTGTGGCAGGAGGCACAGTCACACTCCTCCCCGCGGCGAACTCTCTTTCATACCATTTTATGTGTCTGCTTCTTACTCCCATCCGGAGTGAAGAAAGCCTTTATTTCAGAAACTGGCAGTTGGGTACCCGGTGAGAGCGGAACTACCTCACGTATGTGGCGCCGCCTGTGGTTCACAGAGGGCTGGGTCAGCAGCTCGGGTGGCAGAGCGGGGGCGGCTTACTTGAACTGACAGAAGATGTCTGCGTACTCTGGAAGGATCCCGCCGGCCTGCAGCACTGTCACGCGGAAAGTGAAGGCGCTGCCCAGTTTCAGGTGGTTGCCAATCTCTTCAGAAAACCCTTCCATGACCATCTTACCATCCAGCAAAGTGCTGGACTTCAAATCTAAAGAGGGTCAAATGAATACACGTGGTTCAAATAACACACACCTCCTTTCCAAGAGGAGAGAGCAGGGCATTTCCGCTCCCAGTAGGTGAAGCAACCATCTCCCTGGAGAGTGCTCAGTATTTCCCCCTCTTTGCAAACACCCCCAGTCATAGTAAACCCTGTCTACGTACCCAGGTCATTCATTCGGTTGGTTTCTTCTGGAGGAGTGATGACCTCTGAACTCTGACCCTGCCCTTCTACAATCCTCAGTTCCTCCAGGGACAGACCAGAACGAGTCATTGCCACAGAAGAAAAGTCATTCTGAAAACAGGCAGCAGCAGGCAGATGATCAAGCAGCACAATGGTGTTTTTTCCCCAATCTCCCTACTCTTGTCTAGTTGCCCAACAAGTAACAGTGACTGGAAAACTATGTGGATTAAGAGCTGCCTGAGAAAAGGCAATACAATAAAATATAAACATCTTCACCTCTGTAGGTGTTCGATGTGTCCCATGATGTACAAACAACCCCGGTGTTACCCACCTTTTGTAGTTGCAGCATCCTCCTTATAAACCTGTCTTCTACTTTCTCCCTCTACGAGTTAGTTCTCTCCCCGGAAGGCTGCTCACCTGATTAAAGTACTCGTTATCAAACGATATTTTTGCTGTTCCTGATTGTCGAATTCCAGAGCCATAATCAGGAGCTTCCTCATCCGCTAAGTAAGAAAAAGAAAAAAGGATGAAATGAGACTGCATATGGGGCAGGGGAGGAATGGCTCTGTTTGGATTATAAATAAACAGGAAAGTAGCAGAGCCTCCCAGTTCCAGAACGTTAATAACTAAAGAACAAGGCCTGTGCATAAGAAAGAAAGAAAGAAAAGCTGGAAGCAAGAAAGTCACAAAGGGCTGCTTCCAGCTCTGCTCAGGTAAATTTGCCAATCTGCTCAGCTCACATGAGACTAGTTAATAAAGAATCAGTTTTATTACTGATATTGTTCAAATGTCATACCTAGAAATACTGGTCCTTCGCTTGGCAAGATGATGTTCACTACTACCCAACAAATATTTGAAGACCAAGTATTTGCAGAGATTTTCCTGAACTCAACACTGGCAACTATGCCACAGATTTCCAGGGGGAAAAGCCCTGGAACACCGCGTGGCATTTAGAAATTAAGAGAGAAAAATGACAGGAAATGGCTACATTCTTTCCTCAGACTGTAGGCTGGATCATGGAAAAGTGTAAAATATCAGAATCTTGATCCATGCCCACCAAAACAGAGTCAAAGGACAGAAATATCTAGTAGGAATACCCTGAGAGAAAATTAAGCAAGAAAGAGTCATGAAAATCCTTTATTACTACTTTTTTTTTTTTAATGTTTTTTTTTATTTCTGAGAGAGAGACAGTGTGAGCAGGAGAGGGTCAGAGAGAAAGGGAGACACAGATTCCAAAACAGACTCCAGGCTCTCAGCTGGCTGTCAGCACAGAACCCGATGCGGGGCTCGACCCCATGAACCGTGAGATCATGACCTGAGCCGAAGTCGGACGCTTAACCATTCAGGTGCCCCTCCTTTGTCACTTTTGAAGCAGTTTTATAAATGTCTTTCATAAAGTCAATCCAAGAGTTGTTCTCCACGTTAAAGGAAATCCCTTCATCCCGTTACTCCCGAACAGCTGTAGCCCAGACTAAACAGAATCCATTTATGATACTCGGGAATAATAGCTAAGAGGAAGCAGTGAAGGCTTTCTCCAAGACAGACCATCAATCATGTAACTGAAGTGATTGTGGCCCACACACAACTGGCCTGCTTGGTCTCTAGGCAAAGACCCCACAGCTCCCAGTCTAGGAGGGGGTCACCTACCTGCAATGGCCTGCACAGCCACACGCAGAAATCCCCGCACTTCGCCCTTCTCACTGACGATGGCCACCCTGTGAATCAGGGGCACAGGATACAGCAGGTTGCTCAGGTAAACAAATGCCCTGGAGACAGAAACCGGCAGACAAACACCTGAGCATCCCACAGACAGAGAGGCTGGCTTTCAGATTTACCGAGAATATCCTCATGAAACTGTGAGCTGGCTTCTGGGCCCTGTCTTAAGGTCACCTTTCCATTTGTACTCCCAGACTGCCTCCCCCCCCCCCCGCCCCCCCGTTGCTTTTTCAGCGCAGATGATACAGAAAGAAATGCAAATGCTTGGTAAAGCAGTTGACAAAGACCAACTTATACCAAACCACTCCCTAATAAAAACGACGAGTAAAACAAAAAATGACTAGCGTAGGTAGAAGAGTAACAATGGGAAGCAGACTTCAGAGACACTGCCCTATGGTTACTGCTAAGCGTGGGGAAAAGGGAGCCCGCTGAAGAGCTTCACCTTTTAACATAAGCAATTATAAAGGTGTTTTGTTTTGTTTCCCCCAACAGATAAAACAGAAAATCAGGAGACAAAAAAGGCAGGGAAATGTGATGAAATACGGCTAATTACTCTAAAATAGATTTTAAGTCACAACATGATGGGTCTTTATTTTTCCCCAAGGAAATGACTGCGATCTTCAGGCAGGTGACTGGCACACATGAACAAAGAGGCTCTGTAGCTAGAAGTTTCTGCATAGCAAGCGTACAGGAGACTCTGAGACAAATGCCGAGGGAGAAGACAGCTGATCTCTAAAGGGCTGCTCTTGCTCCTGGATCTGAAACTTAACTCAGAAATGCAAACACAGAAGGGAGGTTACAGACCTAACACTGTCGATTCCAAACACACTAGCAGAGTCCTATGTCACATTTGCACTCTTTTTAGTTCTTCCATTATTTTGTAGCTACTGAGTTGTTGTTGTTGTTGCTGTTGTTTTAATAATAAAAATGAGATCACAGAGCTTAGGAGTGTTCATTTCAGTCAGTGGATGGGATACAGAATCTAGCTCCTACTGCTTTCCTGTCTTCCCACTTGGTATATGCTGATCTTTGAACACACGCAAAACAAAGAGCAAATATTTGCACCAAGGAATCAAACATAACTGAACATGACACATGTGCCTTTCTGCTTCTTTTCCTGCTCTGTCTCTACTTTAAAACAAAGAGAAAAAGAAGATGGAGGGGATTTGTGGGGTTTCAACTCAACGTAATGAAAAAAAAACTACTGAAAACAGACAACGTACACAACAGAAAAACAGATGTTAATAAAACTCTAAAAGCATAAATGAAACGTGAATGAAAAGTATAACAAAAATAACCGTAAGTAAAACACTGAATCGGATCAAATGAAGTCTACTTCCCTTTCAGTCTGCTCCAAAGGCGAGGAGGAAAATGCTAAGAAACAGAGGATTAAGACTTTAATTTTATAAAAATTAAAAAATGGAAAAGTCTTCTAAAAGGGATTATAAACAAGCCTCTCAAACATCAAAGTACTGTGACAGAGTTTAAAGACAGAATTTGGCTTGAGGTACCACATGGATCATGTCACTTCCAGGTCGGCACCACACAGACCAACTCTGTCTCTTGATGGTGTTCCAGCCACACCTGTTGACATTCAGTGCCGGGCCATCACGGAGCCACTGCACATATGCGTCCCCTGCCTGGAGTCCTCCCTGAACACTGTGACCCATCTCACGCCGCCCACTCTCATGACAGGCCCTCCTGCCTCTGGTGTTGGGTGATCTCAGTAACACGATTCCATCACTGCTATGATTTCCATTCACTTATGTGATTATCTGTCTGTCTCACCCGCCAGACTGTGAACCCGTGAGAGCAGGAATCACGTCTGGCTTTGCCTGCCACTGCCAACAGAGGGCCTAGCATATCTCAGTAAACACACTCGATAAAAATATCGGGCATGTGATCGAACATCTATGTATGTAAGTGAACAGAAAATGGTGTGCCCTCTATCTTTAAGAAGAAATGGAACACTTTGCAGAAAAATGGGTTACATCTCTACCTGAGGTAGAGAAGTAAAGCCATCCAACTTTATATACTAGGTTGATTTTTCCAGGCTATACTCAAGATGGGTATTAACTATATAGAACAAGTTTAGGCTCCTCACTTGTCTTGATTTGTATAGTGAGTTTTATACTTAGAACAGGAACCCCTGTTTCTGATTTTCAAAAAGCTTTACCCCTGGAAGGCACTGCATTATCGTGTTCACACACACATCACAGCAAAGCACTGTTTGAGCACACATTAAAGACAAGAATCTCCTTTCTGCCCATTGGCAATGGCTATTCCAAAGATGAAAGAACAGAAGGTATTCTTGTAAATATCCCTTTTTGGAAAAGAGAACTCTGTAATTCAATGGCAGGGGCAGGGCACAGTCACCAGACAGCTCCCTGTCCTGTTATCAGAACAGAAGCCTTAGCCCAAAGTCAATCTGTATTAAGTTCTCCTCTGAAGTTTTTTAAACTGGAATTTTAATAAATACTCTGCATTCTTGGGAGTCTTCTACTCTGAGCTAGCAGACTGAAGGAGAACAGGGATGAGACAGGGTAAGATGTAAAGGATATATTAGCATAAATTCTGTGAAGTTACATCAATAAGGGAAACAAATTTTGTCAACATAAAGATAAGACACATTAGCATAATTATGGTTCTAGTTACAGAAAAAAATGTCAGTTCAGACTTAGGTATCAGAATAACTATCTTCTGCCCCCTTTTAACCCAGAGACCAGCTTAAAAATTTTACATTTCATCCCCAATTATGACGGATGGTTCATAACATCCCAGCATGCCATAAGAGAACAGCTAAAGGGACAAGCTCTTTTCATATTCATATAAAAAATCACCAGAGGCAGCCAAAGCCAAGAAACAAAATCTACAAACGGAATTTCACAAGAAACTGGAAAATTTTATAAGCGAATTGCATTTGCCATGAATGTGTCAATAGGGGAAATCCAATCCTGTGAATCACAAAAACAGGAAAGAGGTTACTTCTCTTACACAGATGGTGGCCACTACATAACTGGGTGATGTTGCACAGTTATCAGTTTTGATTGTAGGTGAGAAATGTACTCGAGGGCAGAAGTCAAGAGCTACCCTGCACTCTTCCGACGGCCATGATTTCACCTCCATCCCCTAAGCTCTTCCTTGCAAGGTAAAGTTAGTTTTAGAGCCCGGGAAGCCAAACACGTGGAAAAAATCAATCTCTTAAAGACTCTTTAGTGTGTCTTTCAAGTGTCAAATCGACACTTTAATTGAAAATCAGAGCAGAGTTGATTGCTTTTACCTAATTTGGATTGGATATGATTACAATAAACAAAACCACAGAGAAAATAACGCATATATTTTAGAAGTCAGTGAACGTCCACATTAAGTGGGATTCTGACTTAAGTTTTCCATCCAAGTGACTCAAAATGCAAATTCTCTGGAGTAGAACTCTTAACCAAGATACTCATTTTGCTAGTGTGGATGACAGACTCTCAAAGAAAAAAAGGTCTTTAAGGCTCTTTGTTTTCCTACCTAGCTCATCACTGTATACTTGAGAACCCAAGAGGCCTCTATTTAAGTTAAGCCTAAGTTAGGACTCAGGCTTCAGACAATCAGGGCCAGTGCTCTTCCCAATGTCCCCTGTGAGGCGAAGCTCCACACTCCTCCCTGTGCTGACGGTGCCCGACACAAATGAATGGCATTAGAAGCTGGGCCGCTGGCACAGGGACCAAGTGGTTTTTGAACAGAAACTTGGTTCTAACTTCTGACCTTTTGAGAACGCACGTAACCATAAAATACAAAGAGCACATGGTCCCATTATTTGTACATAAAACTACTTTTCTCAGTTTTAATATAAATCATCTCCAAAATGCTAAGCATCTATCTATTCCTGGCAATACACTAATAAAAAACAATATTCGTGGCTGCATAATCCCTTCATTTATTCAAGGAAAAGCTGAATAAATGCCCCTCCCCTATCATAAAACTCAAGACTATCTAATATTAAATTACGACCCGTGGTCACATTTGAGACTTTCACGTCTACAAGAAAGCTCTTCCTTCCCCTCTTTCCTTAATAGTGATCATTTGCTCCAGTAGTTATGCAGTCCTTGCCATGTAAGGGCACGCCAACATCACACGAGGAGCTCAGTTTCAGAACCTGCGATCCTTCCTGGGTCAGGACACTCGCTGCCCTTCAACTGTAGATAACTGGCGCTTATCCATTTAACACTGATATGATTCCTTATTTTCAAAAGGTTCAACAGTATGTGTGGTTCTAATGTACCATTAAAATTAAATTTCATACTTTCAAACCTAGGTAGACTTCTGTATTAATCCAGTGAGTGCTGCCCTGGGGAATTTGTGATGAAACTTACTTGAGCATGAAGACTGGGTGCAAACAAAGACTCTAGTGTCAGGAGCGTGTGCGTGAGAGCGCTGCATCACTGACAGATGGAGTCAGAGAAAAGGCCTCAGTTTGGAAAACCAACTAAACACAAAGCAGTTTCATGCAGTGCTGAACAAATATCCATTGTTGGTGGTGTCAACAGATCACTTCATGAGATTCATCATAAAGCCTATAGGTGAAATTTTAGCAGAAGCCAAAGATCCACAGATAGGCTCAGGGAAACTGGCCAAAGAAAGGAATCCATTTCAGACAAAAGGAAACTTCGTGTTCCTGATTCTTTTTCAGACTCAGAGTAACTAACACCCCTCCTGATTGCACTTTTGTCCTCTTGATTCCGGCTGGTGTTACAAATCCTTCAGCCTAACTGTGGACTCGCTCTGCTCTCCTCAAGTCATCCCCATATGCTTCCTCACTCCCCTTCCTACAAAACGGAAGCATTAGAACACAGCAACATTCTCTGACCCTGTAACGTGTGACTCAGCTTTCATTACTTTCTCCTCTGGGGTTTCCTCCTTCAGAAGGAAATTACTGAGCACCTGAAGACCAGGGGTCCCCCACTTAGAGCCCTCACACACCGCCACGTGCTGTACCAAGCAGACTGAGTACCTTACACACACCGCCTGAGGGCTCTCTCTCGCCAGGTCGGCATGCCACAAATTGAATCTGCTAAGGAGAGGTCGTCCAAAATTGCACAAGGAGCCTCGTTAAAGCAAGAGCTGGTCCCTTTTCGCCCTTCTCACAATAACCTCACCAACCTTCCCACTAAAATGAACCATGGGGATCGGTCGTAAAACGGGTCATGCCCGTCACTGAAGAGATCTGATCCCTCCTCCGTCCCTGCGTCAGAGCCGGTGTCATCCACGAATGCCTCATCATCAAAATCCTCCATCTCATCTTGCTGCTCGTCAGCCAGCTCAGTGATGTCGGAATCGGCGGTGGAAAAAGTGGGGGAGGGTGTGCGGTCAGCAAGGCGCTCGTTCACACAGCCGTGGAAAATGGGGGAGCTAGATGCCAGGGAAGACGCCGATGGACACAGCCAAGGAGAGAGGAATAGTTGGTTAAACAGGAAGCTATAGGTGCCAACAGGACAGAACCCACTGGGGAATCAACACAGTAAAAGCAAGTCGAAAAGCAAAGGGTAAAATAAGCATAAATCGTCTGGTTCAGGTGAAAGGGAACAAGGACTGATCCTTAGAATAAGAAAAGCAAAGGAAACACATGAGTAGAAGATCTCGGGTAAATAGTGTGCTATAAAAATGTTTATATTTTCCAGGTCACACAAAAGATCAGCAGCCAGGCCTCAAAGGAGCCACTCCACATTTGGTGCAAAAATATGGTTTCGATCTTTATCCCAGTACCCACATCACCTCTGAGCAGAAAAAAAATGCATGGAATGGCGTCTAGCAAAGCAAGCTACGTGCCTTGCCTGGGTAAGAGGTGTTAGGCCAATTCAACTCTTGAAAAACACTCCACTATTAGAGTGGAATGGAAAGGATTTAAACTTCAATTCTACAAAAATACTGTAACTTCCGCTCCTCCTTTAAACCCAGTTCCTTTAAAACTGTCAGAAAAATTTTTCAATTAAAAAACAATTCAAATTCCGAAATCATTAAGCTAAAACTTACATCTCTGTTTTTAAAATTCTATACATCTAACAACTTGGACTCAGTATGGATTCACTGAGGTATTATTTGTTCCCGTTAAATGTTGCAATTCATGTGTACACAAAAGAGGCTCAAGCAGATGACCAAGGTGTGTGGCTGGCTCACCTTTACAGAGGCTACCGTGGGATAAACTGTTCAAAAAAAAAAAAGTGAGGACACGTCGGATCATGGAGAGGTTGCAGGCTGGTAAGCTTTAAGTCATACTATGATTTTAATCTGTGCAAGATTCAGACACAGGTTTTCTTTTAAATCTATCTTGTTCAGGGGCGCCTCAGGGGCTCAGTCATTGGAGGTCCAACTCTTGACTTCGTCTCGGGTCATGGTCTCATGGTTTGTCGGTTCAAGCCCCATGTCGAGCTCTGGGCTGGCAGCATGGAGCCCGCTTGGGATTCCCCCACACACACCACTACCCTTCCCCTACTCAGGTTCTCTCTCTGTCTGTCTCTCTCTCAAAAATACATAAACTTTAAAAAATAAATCTATCTTGTTCAACTGTAAGAGGCATGGAAGACTGAATTACTATGGTTGATAGGTGAGACTTAAATCCGAACACTGAATAAAATGAAGGGAAATATACCAAATAATACAGTGGTTGTGTATGAATGAATAAGATTATACAGGGAACATTTTTACATTTTTTTAAATGGAGCATTTTTACACACTTTCTTTTAACTTTCTGTAATATCTGCTGAGGTTTAAACAAAACCATATTTAATAAGATGACATCAATGAAATCATCACGTACCTTCCTACCAGTTTGAACCAATGGAATCGATCATAAAATGGATCACTGCCAGTCACGGTGGCTTCGCTTTCATCCTGGGCACCAGAGGCCACCTCACCTGCTCTGTCATACATCTCTCGCATCAAATCCAGCCTCTGCCTGCATAAACATAAAGTACACTGGATTAATATCATGAGATTGTATTAGAATTTCACCTTGGAAGTATCTTCCACGCAAGATTTAAAACAAAACAAAACAAAAGCTGCTCCCACTATTAAAAAAAAATGAAGGCCAAAAGTACAGAGACTCAAACACTCAGTATCCAACGTGTCTGAGTCTAGAGACAAGCCACCAAAAGTAAAACATGGCTACCTAACGTCTGCTGAATTATCGGAGAGATATAGCTCATTGGTAGATAACATCTCCATACTGAAGAGCAGGAAATATGTCATCATATTAAATGCGAAGCAGAACTACATTATAACGTTACTGATTTTTACTCATCAGCAGCTCCAGAACAGAAAAGATGACTAACTACTAGATCCAAGATAGAAACAGGTATCACGACACTGGAACACTGAAAATATAAGAGGTTCTACAGACGGAAAATTTAAATCTTATCTACAAATGACAAAGGTGTTAGTTGGCAGAGTGGGATCCACTCAGAAGAAAATGGATGGACAGTAATATCACTGGTGAGCAACAGCATCTAGGACCACAGAAGAGGATGTAACAGTGACCTCCTCACAGAACGGAGAGTCTGAGGGAGCCCATCTGAGCAATTTACTATTATTCCCTAAATAAAACAACTGGCTTCATGAGGAATATTTTCATACTTGAGCTTCTCCAAAGACCAATAATGTGTGGCTCCATTCTTCAGATCCTGCACTTCTACCGCCACCACTGTCCGAGGGAAAGGCCTGTCTTCATGAGTTTTTTCCGCCTCGGTGGGAAGTAATTCCGGAGGCAAAGGGGAGTACAAGGTGTCTGTCAGCAGAACAAACTGGAACTGCACCTACGTGAACAGAATAAACCATGCAAATGGCCTCCATGTTTTCAACAAGTCAGCTTCAGGAATGAGGTGATATAATCACGCCCCACAGGGAAGAGGTCAAGCATGTAGTATGTGCTCAACAAACAGCTTGTGATTAACTGGGGAGAATATGGCCACTTGTACATTAGTTGTAGAGAACCACCCTAATTTCAAATGAAGCTATTTCCAGACTCTGTTTTCCTGCCCTGGCCCAGTGTGTTCACACAAACTAAAATCTCCGTGCATATGTCTTTGTTGACTGAGTGAAGACTTTTTAGAAGTTACACAAGAGAACAAAGGGGGGACCTGCGAGTACATCACGAGTCCCTCCCTGAGAGGGGGCAGAAGCATCACGGTTGGTTTTCCACTCAAATTGCAGGGTCACAAGTGCTACTCTTAAAAGTGTTTACTGTTGGGGCGCCTGGATGGCTCAGTAGGTTAAGCGTCTGACTTTGGCTCAGGTCATGATCTCATGGTTCGTGGGTTCGAGCCTTGCATCAGGCTCTGTGCTGACAGCTAGCTCAGAGCCTGGAGCCTGCTTCAGATTCTCTGTCTCCCTCTCTCTCTGACTCTCCCCTGCTCACGCTGTCTCTCTTTCTCTCTCTCAGAAATAAATAAAACATTAAAAAAAATTTTTTAAGAAGTGTTTACTGTATGACAAGTGCTTTTCAAGCACCATGCCATTTATTTCTTGCTACTGCCCCACATTTTCACCTACAAATATGAATTACATCTAAGACACAGTCTGTGCCTTCATTTCGTCTACTTGAGGAGAGTAATTAAAGAATTACAAAACGAAATGGGTTGTCGAGACTGTGAATGAAGAAGACACCTTATCCCTATTTTACAGAATGAGACTATAGCCCTCGGGGCAGAGACTGAATCTCCCCAAAGCTGGGCAGTCTGTGCTCTCTCCTACCATGTGATACTGCGCACCCTCCCATTATCTAACCCTGACCCCAGGCTATCAGCAGTGGGACATACAGAAGAATGAATTGAAGATGTGGTGTGATGTTTTGGTAATGAGGAAGATCGGTAACATTTATTGTCTTTCACCACGTCCAAGAGCTATTTCAGCTCTTTACATGTATTTACTCTTCCATCCCTCACAAAACCCTAGATGCCAGGGGCTGCTGCCAAGCCCATTTTATAGATGAGGGAATGGAGGCACAGGGCTGTCAGAGTCAATACAACTAGGAGAGCTGGAAGTGGAACCCAGGGCGCTTGTCTACTGCACAAAGCTGCCTCTCAGACCCTAGAGGAGGAGGGACACTTTGGACTTAGAGGTGCAGATGTAATGGTAGAAAACTAAAAGAAAATTGGGAATTTCAGAAACCCAAGAGTAGCTTTCTCTTACTAATATGCTTCCCCAGCTTTTGTCGGAATAGAATCTCCTCCTTTATAAATAAGTTAGAAAACATGTTCTTTTGAAAATGTCATGTAATATTCACTTAGTACCTACTATGTTCCAGGCCCATATGTAAAATAAAGGCATGTATAAACCTGTTTCATAGCCAAAAGCAGCTGAGTTCACCCAAGGGAAAGGTCAATTTAAGACTGTGAGCCATGAAGCCCCTTGGACTCAGCTGCACCTCCAGATGATCCCTGTTCTCCCACCCTCCGTACCTTTTTCTTCAGTTCCACGCTGATGGCATTGGCCTCCTTCAGGTAAACAGCATTGCCCCAAAGTAAGTCCCTTAATGAAGTAAACTGGTGAGACTTCCATTTCCGGAAGGCCCACTGGGCCAGCTCAAATTCGTGTTGTGTCCAAGGAACTGAAAGAGCAAAGGAAGTGTAATTAATGGTGATCTCATAACTATGTACATCTCTCCCCACCTCATCCCCCTTTATCAAGTTAAAGTAAAAGTTAAAGCTTTTCTCCATTCAGTTGTTTTCGTTTTCTACTTTTCAGTAAAGCCTACTAAAATTCTGTTGATATTATGAAGGTACATATACATTTCAGAAAACTTTTAAAAAATCCTACTATTTAAAACAGTACAGGGGTGCCTGGGTGGCTCAGTCAGTTAAGCTTCTACTCTTTTGATTTCAGCTCATGTCAGAATCTCACAGTTTGTGACATCGAGCCCTGTGTCGGGCTCTGCGCTGCGTGTGGAGCCTGCTTAGGATTTTCTCTCTCTGCCCCTCCTCTGCTCATGCGCACACTCTCTTTAAAAATAAATAAGTAAACATTAAAAAAGTAAATAAAACAGTACATTAAATAAATAGCTTCTCCTCCTTTAAAAAAATATGTATCTAATACAGGGCTTATAATAATCCTTTAGTATACTGTACAACTTCATATATATCTATTTTTCTTAAGGTCACTATTTTACTTCACTATTAAAAAATAAAAAATTTAGTACACAGAGTCTTCAGAGTTAATTTATCTGCAACATATACATGACCTTCATATATGCAGTAATATGAAACATATATGTAAACTGCCCAAGAGATTTCTGTGAAGACCAAGCTAAGAAATCTTGTGTCCCATGGAACACATTCAGCCCCGCTCCCAGGACAGAGAGCACAGTCTGTAGAACTGAGAATCTTCAGAATCACCTTTAAATTGGCTCAGTAAAATATCAATAAATGGTAGGATCACCTATGATCAAATCCAGCTTTGATCACAGATAAAGGGTTAATCTGATAGGACAGATCCAAAAGATTATACAGAGGGAAATTTCCATCCCTAGATTTCACCTTCTTCCTCTTCTTCTTCCTCTTCTGTTGTCTCGGCAGCGAGGGAGCGGGTCTCAACTTGCTTCTGCAAGGCCTGCAACTTACTCTCATAGTCCTGGATGAAAACAGAGGAGAGGACATGTAGGAAAGGGAGGAAGGGGAGGGAGGGGAGGAGAGATGAGCGCAGTACTGGTGAAAGCAGAGAGGGCAAAAGATAAAAGAGAAGACAGAGGCAGGAAGCAACGATAAAATGACAAAGAAATACGCAGGAAAACCCCACAAAGCACACAAGATGGTCTGTAACGGGTAAGTGGTGAAGAAAGCTAACTGCAGTCTCTCTCTATTCCCTCACACGTGAGAGTTCTTGATGTGGGGCTCAGGTCCAGATTGGGGGAGGGGGATTTTGAGAGGAAAACTCATTTGTCCTTTAAATTTATTTAACAGTAGTATTTAAGTAGTACCTTCAAATATCAAGGAACTCCAGGGAAAAACAATACTGGAAAATTCACCATTATTGTCAACTGTACTGATTATCTAGCTGTTTGGATGGGAACTATGGACTCTGAAGCTCTCTGTGGATGAAATACTCTGCAGCTGTAGGATGCAGCCTTCAGGTAACCAAAGGGTCACAGTGCTATTAGGACCAAAATAATCTGTAGATTGTATTTAGTTACTCAAGAAAGACATTCTACAATATACTATTATAATACAAAACGTGTTATTGTCATACAGATCAGATTTAGCCTTCATGTCTCCATCTATTCCATGTGTTCTCAGTGAGGGTGGTATCACCCCAAAGAGGGCAAAGAATGGCTTTTGAAGGAGACAAAAAAACCTTATTCTTTGTATGTATAAAGCACAAATATACACACAGCATATAAACAGATGTACTTATGTATCTGAGATGAAAATTTCATGGTGGGGAGAGATTATGGAAAAAGTGTCTAGAAAGGTTCCTTGGAGCGTTAACTTTAAAAAGCTTGTGTTGAGGGGGCACCTGGGTGGCTCAGTCGGATAAACGTCCAACTCTTGATTTGGGCTTGGGTCATGGTCTCATGTTTGTGGGTTCCGGCCCCACACTGGGCTCTGTGCTCACAGTGTGGAGCCTGCTTGGGACTCTCTCTCCCTCTCTCTCTCTGCCCCTCCCCTGCTCTCTTTCTCAAAAAATTAAACTAAAACAAAAATTTTTTTAAGCTTGTGTTGTCTGAAAAAGCAGAGACCTTCACATAATAAAATACCATATCATAGCGTAAGCACAGAATCTTAAGATAGACTGCCTGGGTTTCCTGCCTCCTCGGAGCGACCCAATTATAGGCTGTCATAAGACAGAGGCTTTAGGTGTGACCATGTGCTGTCGTCAAACAGAGCTCTCCAAGTCACAAGCCAAATATTCTATTCACTATAAAGGACCACTGAAAGCTTCCTAGCAAAGTCTACTACAAAAGGAGCTTCCAATGGTGATGCTAAGAAGGAAATAAATATTCTCAAGGCTCATCATTTATCACTTAAGACGCACAAAGGAAGCTCTCCCTCTTTAGTGGAGCTGGCAGTGAGCAGGGGCCAGCGATACAGCATCATAGATATCAAAACACATTTTTTAGGAGACTATGTACTATGGCAAATTAAAAAAATAAAAAAAAAATTTAACTTGCAGGAAAAAGTTTGGCTCGTGGCACCTGCTCTTACTTGTCTTAGAATTCTGGGCAAGCTAAATGCTCTCTACACCTCATTTTTGTCATTTTTAAAATGACCTGCCTCCCACACAGGACCGAAGGAAGGACCAAATGATGAACATTTAAAACTGAATGTGAAAGCCCCCTTAATTGGTAACACAATCAAAATGACAGGTAATGCTTTAAAAAGTTTATTTTCTAAGTATATCTAGCACCCAGATCTTGGTTTCTAAATGCCAGTCTCCACTAAAGGGAACCGGGGCTCCTTGGGAAAACAACTGATTCCAGGTTTGAAGCAAGGAAAGTACAGGTGAGCCTGGAATATCTTGTGCCAGAAACGGTGGAAGTACTCAAAGACTGATGGGGCCATTTGTAAAGGACACAGAATTCCATTGGCAAGTAAATAAGAATAATACCAGAAACACAATATAGCACATTGAATATAAAAGAAATCCAAGAGTCCACAGTGATATTTGAAAGAAAGGGGGGGGGGGGAAGCTCCTCCTTAAAAAAATTAAAAAGCCAGTTAATAAATAAATGCAAAGGGATTGACAATTAGAAAACCACTACATCACAACCTTAGATGTAGTAACCTGAGTCAAGACAAGGATCATTAAGAAATGCTAAAACAACTCAGTGAAAGGTGGACAGAGCACAGAATCATCACAGAATCCCAAGTACCACCCTAGATAGTTATTAGTAAGAAAAAGAAAGAGCTGGCAAATGTCACATTAAATTGATTAAACTTTTTAACATTACTGATAATAGGACAATTTGACATTTTGTCTACCGATCTGATGCGAGGGAAGTACACAGTATCACCTTGACAGCATTCTTATCAAAAATGCTTAACTTTAATCTTGAGGAAATAATCAGACAAAGCAACATGTAGCTAAGAATACACTGGTATTCCAAAATACCAATGTAACGAGGAGAGCAATATCATAACCAAAGGTAATATACAAACTTTGCTTGGACCTGGGATTAAAACACACATGTTTCTAACACATATTTTTTTTAGACAATTAGGAAAATCTGAAAATGGGCAGTCTACTACACAGTAGAGAATCATTATTAAATTTCTTGGGTAGGTTAATGGCATTAAGGGAATATCCTTGATTTTAGGAGATACACATGGCAGTATTTGGGGGTAAACTCCACCATGAATGACTGTGACTTACTTTCAAATGATTCAGAAAAGAAAATACATAAATATGGGTATACAAAGATCCACTGTACTATCTTTTCTTTTGGTATGTTTGAAATATTTCAAAATAAAAGGTTGAGGAAAGACTGCTTTTTTTCCCCTTAGAAAATCTCTATGTTCTATGAGACCCTTTCAGTAAAAAGAGGAAGATGGAGGAAGATAGCCAGTTTACATAAAAATCCTCAGATGGAAAAAAATGTTAGTATTTTATCTTGAGGATTTTTTCCTTGCTTTTCATTTCCCCTGCAACTTTAATTATAGTAAAGTGCACAGAGCATAAAATTTACCATCTGAACCATTTTTAAGTGAACAATTCAGCGCTGTGACGTACATTCACATTGCTGTGTTCCCACCACCATCCGTCTCCAGAACACTCTCCACCGTGTACAACTGAAACTCCACACCCACTGAACACTAACTCTCCACTCCCCCTTCTCTCTCCCCTGGCAACTACCATTCTACTTTCTGTCTCTGATTTTTACTTTAAGTATCCCATGTGGATACTTCCTTCATGTGGAATCACATGATTCTGGCTTTTAGTGACTGGCTTGTTTTTGAGGTTTCCTTCAAAAATCAGTTTACAAGATGGTCAAACTACTGATAAAAACAAAATCCTTAGAATCTGACAGTTAAGGTATGAGGGTGACCTTCCCTAAAGGCTCTAAAGTGGCAGTAAAGCGGACCTAAAAAGATTTCCTGTAACACTATGGGCCTAGAACTTTAACTGCATTTTGACTCAGGGAAAAACTCTATCAGCAGTTGATAGATAATCCGAGTATCAACACGATTTCCTAAACTGACCCTCCTCTTCCCCAAACCAGGCTGTATATGAGCTTCCAACAGGGACATTTTGTATCTCATCAGAAAAACTCTTAAGTATTGGATTTTCCTACAACAAATGGACAGAGAGATTGGGATGCTATTGTTCTGTTGACTTCATGGTGAAAACTATGATAATTATGGGAAGCACACCAAATAATATATTTTAGCAGTAGCGTTTTGTGTTTGTAAGAAGTCCTAGTTGGTTAAATATATCCCCATACCTATAAAGGCACTAAACTGGCTGTTCCCTCTACTAGAATGTTCTCTCTCTCCTGGCCATCCTTTTTTTTAAGCTTACTTTGTGCCAGGAACTGTTCTTAATGTTTTGCATAGATTATCTGAATCTTCCTAATAACCCTATGAGGATGGTACTACTGTTAACCTCATGTTAAAGAAGAAGAAAAAGGATTTAAAAAGTTAACTAAATGTTATAAAGATCAGAGTTAAGCAAGCATGGATATGGGACTTGAACTCAAGCAACTGGACTCCAGGGCATGCTCTTTTCTCCACTAAGTCTCACTGGTGAGGGAGACAGACACTCGACACTCAATGGCAAACAGACATGAGATACACCATGGTTTTGGCAGAGAGAAGTACTACGAAGGAAAATAAAGGCTGGGAGGTAGGTAATGTGGAGGAGAGAGGAACAGGAGAAGACTTTTAGATCAGGTGGTCAGGGGAGGTCTCTCTGCAGAGACCACATTTAATCAGAGATCGAAGCAGGCGTGCTGAGATCTCTGAGGGGAGTGGTGGGGGAGGGGGATTCCAAGTAAAGGAGAACTAACAGCAAGTACAATGATCCTCAGATGGAAAGGAGCCTCGTGCGTTTTAAGGAAAAACAGGAAAACCTGGGGGTGGGGGGAGCGGAGGAGCAAGAACACAGCTGTGAAGGAGGCAGACAGGGAACGGGTTACGGACGGCCTGACTGGACATGGTAAGGACCGTGGATTTCATTCTGAGGGAAGTCACCGGGGAGTGTTCAGAAGCTGGGAAGTAACAGGGGTCTGCCATATCTTTTAAAAACATCACTCTGTGGAAAAGAGCCTGGAGACGGCAGTCATGACGCTGTCCCAGCAACATTGAGGGAGACGGTGGTAGTTGGCCCAGGGTGTCAGCAGTCAAGGTGGTTATCAGTGAATGGGGTTGGTAGTGGAAGTCTGACCTACGGATGATGGGGTCACGGGGTGTGAGAACAGAAGGAGAAACTGAGGATGGCTCTTGGGATTTGGGGCCTGAGTTGGCTGCTCCAGTTTAGATGGTTTAACTGTGAGATGCCGGTCAGCTATAAGGTCGTCAGGTCATAGTTGCCTATGGCGTCTTCAGATCAGGGTAGAGGGCTGAGAAAAACACCACTGGATTTGTCACCGTCACTGTGGAGATCTTTGGTGGCCCTGAGAAGAGTGGCTTCAGTGT